ATTCAACCATGAACAGTTTCTTATGAAAGAAGAAACACTAACCTTGATCCATTGCTTGATTGGGTTTGATGATGGATTCAAGTCTTCTTCACAGATTGATTTCTTCTTCCCTTACTCCTTATTGCTTTCCTGTGATCTTTGATGAAGAAGATCACTAATCTCTTTTGTTGTTTTTAATCAGTGGTGTTTTCCCTCTCAATGAGAACAACGACCGTAGAGAGTCACTTTTCAACACCACACATATATATACATGTATATTGCATCTTTCCAGAGAGTTGTGTTGGTTTATAATAACCACCTCTTTAATAATGCATAAATATAATATATACAATAATATATATGACTTATATAATATAGTTAAGGCAAGGGAAGAGGGTTATCAATACACCCGAATTCTAATTCATTAATCGAAACCGATTCATCACGGTGTCGTCCCTAATATTAGAATCCATAAGATTAATATGAATTTGAACTTCATAAATAAACCAGAAGACACACAAGCCACACTTAATATAAAATATTCTTACAAATGATTCAGGAACCAAAATGCATCAGAATGTCCACCGCAAATTTCGCGCCTTTTTGGCAATCTATTTCTGAACACTTGTACCTGAAACCAGTGGATGCCCGGGAGCAAACTGAACAATAGATGGATTTGAAGTCTTTTGGTGATGACGGATCTAGGATAAGACGGTGATTGTGCAATGCATGATCCAGTTTTCGAGGAAGATTAGCACATACCTCGTGGAGGAAGAAATCACATGTCGTACAATGGTAGAAATGCTGAGAGTCGATAGGGAAGACGCACGCTTGACATTGCTTCTCGGCGTCTCGAACACAATCGTACTCTTGGAGCCTTAGACAATGTTGATGACCAAAATACTTAATCAGATCATCCCCTACTCTCTTGAAAGGTATAATATCTTCAGTATCATCCGATTCTTCTATTTTCCATTCTAGTTCCCTTCCATCCCATATATTTTCATGTGTTGCACATTTGGAATGAACTACATAAGAGCATTCCTCATGCCTACACGAATACTTCCCATATTTGTTATCAACTTTCTTATAGCAAATACGGCATGGCGAAATGACATGTGAAAGGTGAAGAGTGTGGGAGAGGCGATGAACATGACAGTGATCTTTATGACTCGGGGCAAATCCATACAATTATGATGGACCATGTAATTGCATTGGAAGCAAGCATAAATTGGTTCGAACGCCTTAATCAATCCACAAGCATCACATGGAACTGGTACCGGTCGAGGGAAGAGGAGAAGTGAATGTTGATGGCTTTTTGGGTTTGGAATAGCTAGAGGTGGACTAACTGCCGCACAAGAGAGATCCAAACAAAAGGTACATATAGAGCAGTGATAGAACCAACCATCTTTGAAATCTTTACCACACCAAGTGCACTCATCGAATATGCTATCGGCTTGGGACCAAATAATATCGAGAGACTCAGACTTCCCACGATCAGATGTGTTGGACTGAGTTTCGCCAGAGTCAACATTAGAGTTGAACATGATTCCCGTTTCAGGGTTTCGATAAGAGAGAGTGAGAGGGTGTTGGAGGTGATAAGGATGAGTTATCTTTCTTGTACGCCGTTGACAACCATTGTGAAACTCAACATTACAGGTGGTGCAGTAAAAATGTGGTGACTGCTCCATTATGGCTTTTTGGCCGCAGCACGTAGCGCAACCGAACCGAAGGTCAGGGTTGCTACGAGGGGAAAGGGTATGAGGATGGTGAGTTGGATGAGAAAGAGGACATCTTGGTCTATTATCATCATTCATTTTATTTTTCTCTGGTTTGGTAACTTTGGTTATGATCGATATGAGGTCTCTCAGAATTTATGCTATTCTGATTTCGTCATCCATCTTGTGGAGCAGAATAAAATGTTATGAAAACAAAAGTCTATGAATAATCAATGACCAACTTACAATTTTATATAACCATTATGAAGTAGACAAATAATATAAAATTAAATATAGCTCAGAATTGTTTAAAAATTTTATTATAATGGCAAACACACATACATAATAGGTAAGATACAGCTAAAGTGTCGTAACTCGTAAGTCAACTCAAAAGACACATAACAGTAATACTATTTTTAAGCATCTCCATTGCACAATTGATGTTGATATTTTAACATAAATTTAATCATAAAAATACTAATATTATATTATATTGTAAGTGTGTTTTAAAACAAAGCCAAACTCAATCAAAATAATTCAAGAAGTCACTTTAGACATAGTATCTCACATTTTCCAAAATCTTTTTTTAAAATTATATGTTACTTATGTTCTTCAATATGTCTAATTGAGATGCTCTTAGGATCATAGTGGTAATATTTAATTATTCTGTAGATAAGTTCGTGTTAGTGGTAACAGCTACGCAAGTGACAAACATATTAAATGTTAAGCAATTTAAAAAGATTAACGAGATCGTATTAACTGCTGACCATACAAACTGAAAATAAAATAAGACCGTGCACGTTATATAAGAATAAGCTACAAAACTCTAAGACATCTTTGCATATTTTAAGTTTTTAATATTACATTTCTAACTTAGTTTTTAGCCAAAGGGCATGTGTTTTGTATTTTAAGAGTGGTTTTCCCCATTTTTCACGGTTTGATTGTCATACGATCTCTTCCCTTAAGGGTATTTCTAGTTTGCATGGTCCAATCCAATCATTTATCCCGAAAATTTCTACAATAAAATTAGCTAGGTTGATAATATACTTCTCTATTTTTACGAAAAAATATATATTGACAAATATGATTTTACATGTATATTTAACTTTTTTGCCAAAAAAAAATTTCATCTTAATAGCTAACTTTAATATATAGCTACTATTTTTTTTTTTGCCGTAAAAGCTTATATATGATCATGTTAATTATATAGTCACAAAACCGTCATACATTTGCAACCTTTTTTTGGTCCGTATCAATTTGCAACGACAAATAAATAATTACTTAGTTTGGAAACAGACATAAAGAGTTTTTTTGCAACACCTTTGTAATGATGTCCGGAGTCTGAAAACGTAGGTTGTAGACTTGTAGTATATCTGAAATTGAGCACCGATTAGCTAGTTCTTCATCTTTTACTTCCCATGTAAAAATGTCTAGTTTCAGGTAATTGATTGAAGAAAATGAAAAACTTGAGATAGCTAGTCAAACCAAACATAAATTCAATTTTCATACAAACCACATGATATTCCAACAGAATTCGTAAGTTTGATAAATATAACAAAAGAGAACAATGCAAAGAGTTTATTATTGTTATTGTTATATAGATACGCAGCATACGCTGATGTGACACCTTTGATAATAGATTCGCTTTGGAAGAGACTCGTCTACAAAAATAAAAATAAAGACAACTTAATTTTACTTCTTCCTAAAGGAATAAACAGCGAATATATTATCCATTTTAAAAATAAAACCACTTTTTATTCCATATTGATAATAAACAGCGAATATATTCTATGTTTTTTTGTACGAAATTTTAAATTCGAGGAAAAAACTCATTACCTGGTATGTAAGTGCTGAGAGGTCTCATTCCTAATATTAGCAACTTATGTATACAATCGAAGGAATGTGTTGGATTTTGTAATAATCTTCATGTCCTTCCGACAATTCCTCCTTCCACCCCCTTCCAATACTCAGTACTTTTAAGGAAGTAATAAACCTTAGACCATCAGGAAGCTCCTTTAACTTTTCACAGCGATCAATCTTTAGAGTATGAAGAAGGGGCATGCAACCTTCTTCTACTATCCACTCTTTCCAGTCACGTAGTCCAGATAATAAAAGCTTATACAATTGAGAAAAGCCACCTTCCGAGCAAATCATTCTTGTCCCACAGAAAGATCGCGACCATAGGCAAACCTCTTTCAAGTGAAGCAGCTTCTCTAGTATCGGCATTGGATCCTCCACCAAACGACACTCACGCAAATCTAGGCATGTAAGGTGAGAGGGCAAGTGTTTCTCATCAGGTAACCTTGGCATATATATACTTATCTCTAACTTGTTGAGATGATGACGATTCAGAACCAATCCCTCTTCTAGCAACCTCTTTTTCTTGCAACCAAAAGGTATAACCTCTTCTATCATCCTTTTATACAAGGGATCCTCGATATTGAGACTTTCTAGGTGTCTCAATCCACCTATTGATGCAGATAGAGTTTCTACGTTGGTCTCACTATTTAAAATGATGCTGAGAGTCCTCAACCTAGCCATACCATGGAGATCCACTAAACGACATTTCTCAGTTGAAAAATTCTTCAAGGTCTCCATGTTTATAAGCTTGCCCAATTCCAACTCGACGGTTTCAAGTTCATACCGCGGTAATGCAAGGTATCTCAATTCTTGCATACCCATCAAGACATTTGGCATAAATACAGACCTCACGACTGCGGATCGTACAAAGACATCTAAATTTAGATAGATAAGTAACTTTAGATTTCCTAGAGAAGATGGTAGATGAGATATCACAGCTCCTTCTAAGCTCAAATATCTCAAGTGGATGAGCTTGCCAATGCTAGAAGGTAATTTCTTTCCTTCAAATTCGGCTTTAGAGAGATCTAACACCCTCATCAGTTGTAACCTCGTAAGGGTTAAGCCTGATAGCATCCAACCTCTTCGAATATCATTCCATATGATCACGATAGATCGAAGTTTTGGATTCTTTATAACTTGCTCAACATGTAATTTCGTCGTAGGATTGTGTAAGACGAGCCTCCGAGACGTGCTAGGAGATTGTGAGTGTGCAAGAGATTGAGAGGGTGCAATCGAAGAGTTAGTACCAGCAACTTGTAGGAAATTCTCTTCTTTAGCCTTAAACAAACAAACTTCTCTCATCATGTCATGTAATTGACACGTTTCAAATCTCATAGTCATGATGTCTCTTTCAGAAATGACCATGTTTCTCCTCACTAACTCCTCTATGTAGCCATCAGCAACATCTCGGATGGTTGCTCCGTCATAGTTCCTAGGTTGGGATATTCCTTCCGTTGCCCAATGATAAGATAATTTCTCTACATGTATTTCATAATCTTCAGGAAAATGAGCAAGGTAGAGGAAACATTGCTTCAAATGAACAGGCAACTCTTCAAAGCTCAAAGACATTATATAGTTAAAGGATATGTTGTCTTCTTTACTGAAGCTATGTCTTGCAACGATGTGGGTTCCAATATTCTCAAAAACTCTTCTCCAATAATGCGGTGTGTATTGTGTAGCTAAAATTCCTCCTAACACTTTGACAGCCAAAGGCAACCCGCCACAATGTTTGATCATTTGCTTACCCATCGTTTCCATTTCCTCATCAACCTGAAATTCTGCATAGTGCATCACTAAGTTGAGTTATTCTTCATTGCTACGTTGCAATTGGACGTGATAGGAATATCTTAACACCAGTCTATTTAGGCCAAAGAATATTATACAATGGACATTGAAAAATAAATCACTTTAACTGAAAGCTTACTGAATGCATTTTTCCTGGGAAATAATATGCTTCTAAAAAGTGTCCAACTTTCTTCAATAGTTAGGCATTCGGGTTTAAAGTTGATATTTGTTGTCTCTGTACGCATTGCGACACTCTCATTTCGAGAAGTAAGTAACACTTTCCAACCTGCTCGTTTCATAATAACCAAACGCAAAGAGCACAATGAGTATATTTAGACTATGAGACATGAGTTATTTCCATCTTTATTTTTTTAAGAACAATTAGAGATCACCTTTTCTGGGTGGAAATATTGGCTTGATTCGGTTCCAGTCTTCTTCTTTCCATATATCATCGAAGACAATCAATGATTTAGATGTTTCTAGCAATCGAAAGAGTTCATCGTGGAGGTCAGATTCTTCCATTTGCAAGATTTCACCTTTCCTTTCTTTAGATGTGAGATTCTGCAAGATCATTTGCCAAACAGTCTTCCGGGTAAAATTTTGCGAAACACACACCCATGCGAGTCTATCAAAATTATTCTTAACCTTCTCGTGAAGATAAACTTGTCTAGCAAGGGTGGTTTTCCCAAGACCACCCATTCCAGTGATTGAGACAATCTGAATGTCACCATCCTCCAACAAATACCCAACCAGTTTCATAACATTTGATTCCAGTCCTACAAGATTGCTTTCGTGGTCACTAGCAAATTGTTGTCGCAGCTCCATTTCTCGTTCTTGTAGTGGATATACAGACCGCCTGTCATCGGCAATTATTTCATGTACTCCAAAACTCTTCATATCTCGAATCACTTTGGCGATCCTCTTACTTATGCCTTCAATATCGGATGCAAATCGTCTTCGATCAACTATACTGGAAGCAAATCTTCGTATGCGCTTCATGATCTTCTTACTTTTTTTTCCGTCTTCTTCCTTGAGAATAAACGTTTCGATAATATCCTCAGCATCATAAACAATTTCCTTTATCTCGTCCACACAGTTTCTCACCATCTGACTTGTATGTTTCCTAGTTTCTGCATCTCTCAAAAATGACTTTAATAGGTTTAGATTACTTTTTAGTTCAGTTACTTGATCTTCGGCTCCTTGAAATTGCTCGTATTCTTGGCTTAGTCTGTCCCATAGCTTTTCTACTCCAAAAGACAAAAGTTCCATAGTGACTCCTGCTTAAGCAATATCAAAATAAGTAAAATTCAATTTACTATTGTAATAAGTACCAAAAGAAGTCAAATATGTATATATTAAAGTACGGTTTTTCCAAAGAGAAGCTATGAGAAAATTATATTTGGCACTCTATTTTTTCTACATGTATCATTTTAGAAGAATTTGTTGTAACAATTTTTTTCAACTGACTTTTAAAACCAATAAACACAAAATACTTTTTTTCTCTATTTTATCTTTATTTCTTGACATGATTTTAATTAAATAAAATGTGAAGATCAATTTTTTATGATAAAATAAATTGAGGATACACATTATATGGTGTTTATTGTTTTGCTACATATAGCATATTGTCCAACACTAGTTTTCTGTTATATCTCATCACGTTAATATAAGTAATTCACATGATATAATTATTACAATTATTTTTGAATATCATTTCAATTAAAAGTAGAGAAAGGGAATTTATTACTTATGCCCTTTCCTATATACTTTTTTGCAAAGATACCTTATTTTTGTCATTTCCATTTCGCCCTCTTTTGTACAATTACAATATGTCAACTTATTTAGAATTCCCTATTTTTTTAGGTTTGCATTTCTATATATTTTACATTTATGGTATAGCTTTGAAGGGGTAAGGATTAGTATTTGGAGTTTTGCGTTTAGAATTTAGTCATTTTGTATTTAGAAAAAAGTATTATTGAAAACATACAACAACAAAAAGGATAGTTTTGCAGCAGGGTATGTATAGGAAAAATGTAATTTTACAAAAATATATCCAACTAAAATCCAACTAATGGGAAGGCTTACCAACCCGGCACAGCAACGGGTCTGGTCTCTCATTCCTTTCCTACCCAAGCGATGGAACCTGCGTGGTAAAGCCATTGGATCTGATCTAGGAAATGGACTCTTCCAGTATCTCTTTGACTTTGAAGACGACCTCCAAATGGTATTGGAAAACAGACCCTACCACTTTGACCACTGGATGGTAATTGTGGAAAAATGGGAACCAATCATTTCTGCCTCATTCCCCTCAAAGATTCCCTTCTGGATTGAGATTAAGGGTCTCCCTAAACACTTCTGGAAACTAGAAATGATCCTGTCAATCTGCGAGGAAGTGGGAGATCTCCTGGATCACGAAATTACCGCAACAGTTATTAAGATGAAGGCTCTAATAGATGGACTCAAACCGCTGGTCAAGGAGACTATAGTTGAATTTATGGATGGGAGTGAAGCTTTGATAACCTTGGAGTACAAAAGCCTGAAAAAACACTGCCTTCACTGCCACAGACTCTCTCATGAGAAGAAAGACTGCCCTGGAATACAGGAACCAACCCCTGTACAAAAAGCTCCCCCGTCTACTTCACACCACCAATCCAAAGCATCAAATGCCAGATCCCACTCGTACAGAGAGGTGCACTCTGAACACAAATCTCCCCAAGGCAACACAAAACTGGACTATCAAAGAGCACGTACTAACACCCTGTCAGAGAAACATCACGGGGAGGGGAGACACCACAGTTCTCAATCCTACTCTGCTCCCAGAACCGCACATCAAAGGCCATATAGCCGAAGATACTCACCTGAAAGAAGTAGAGACCCTAATCACCGTGATTGGAACAGAAATCATCAAAGAACCCTCAGAGGAAAATACCCCCCTACCTTGCAATGGAGAGAAAAATACGCCCCGGAAGGCAACCCATCTGTAAACCTCGTTGAAGCTTCTGACTCTTCAAGACCCAGGCGCCCTCCTCTTGAAAGGAACCTACAGGCAGAGTTTACTCCACCCCCTCCTGCGCCTGTGATTCCTACCAGAGAGTCAATTATGGAAGACCTACAGGAGGTGACAATCCAATACACCAGCTGTGCGGACCCTACTGAACAAGCAGCCAGAAAATACAGAGTGATACAAGGTGAAACCAGAGGCTTAATGAGCGAGACAGCAGACCAAATCCTTGCAGCCTCTACTGCTCTAAATACACAGATTCTGGAGAACGAAGTTGAGGAGGATCAAGATCTCCCAATCCACCCTGCTATGGCCCAAGGAAACCCCTCCCCAGCAACAAGGAAGAAAAGAGGACGCCCCCCTCTAGCAAAAACAAGCACCAAAAACCCTCCCCACCTTATGGGAGCCAAAACTAGCAAAAGAAACAAAATTCTTGGACAAGGATCCCCAAAGCGAAAGAACACACCAGAAAAGACTACCAACCCGCAGGGACCCCCTACTGGATCCAGAAACTCAAAAGCTCAACAAAAGTTAACATTGCAGGATGATGACACTCGCCCATCTACAAGCAGAGCAATACCAAAGTCAGTCATTATCCCAGCCATCACAAAGAACAGGAAGGATTTTCAGCCTTCCCCCCCTCCTCTTCCTTAAGAGTTTTGAGCTGGAACTGTTGTGGTTTGGGGAATCCCACAACAGTCCAAAGACTAAGAGAGATGCACAAAAGTCTCTCACCTGATATAATCTTCCTCATGGAGACAAAGAATACTGATGCCTTTGTTCTCAATAAACTTCAAGACTTGAACTACTCAGAGCACAAACTTGTTTCCCCCCACAGCCCGGGTGGTGGTGGTCTGGCCCTCCTATGGAAACAACATTTGGTTTTAGAAGTCTTGCATTCCAGCACAAACTATATAGACACCCTAATCACAGCTGAAGGAAAGTCCTTCTTTGCTACCTTCACCTATGGAGAACCTGACAAATCAAAAAGGAAAACTATTTGGAATCAGATTTCAGCTATGGGACATCTTAGACAGCAACCCTGGTTTTTAACGGGAGACTTTAATGACATCATTGACTCTTCAGAAAAACAAGGAAGACCAGAGAGACCGGAGGGCTCCTACATCGACTTGAGATCTTTCATGTCAGAATGTGACCTGTTTGATCTACAGCATTCAGGCAACTTCCTATCTTGGAGAGGACAAAGATATAATCACCTGGTCCATTGCAGACTGGATCGAGCAATGTCAAACAGCTCCTGGGCGGAAGCTTACCCTTCAGGGAGATCAGAGTATCTAAGATTTGAGAGCTCAGATCACCGACCTCTTTTGACCTACTTTGACCTGAGGAAAAAACGTAAGAAGGGGTTGTTTCGCTATGACAGAAGATTGAAAAGAAACAAAGAAGTCACTCAATTGATTCGAACTCAATGGAGAGTTGAAGAGGATGAAGAAGTAGAGGTGAAAATTAATCGCTGTAGATTAGCAATTATAATATGGACCAGAGAACACTACCAGAATAGCAAAAAAAAGATTGAAAAGGCAAGAGACAATCTGGAACTGGCCATGTCAAGCCCTCTCTCGAGCACCCTCCAAATTGCTGGTATCAATGAGGAACTATCAAAAGCCTACAAAGAGGAAGAAGAATTCTGGAAACAAAGAAGTCGTCAACTATGGCTCACTCTAGGAGACAAGAACACTGGCTACTTCCATGCAATAACCAAGGGTAGAAAAGCAATAAATAAGTTTTCTGTCATAGAAGATGCTTCGGGACAAGCAGTCTATGAAGAACCTCAAATCTTAAAAGTCATCACTGACTACTATCAGGATCTGTTTACTTCTAAAGGAACTCCAGTTGACTCTACCGTTGAGGAGGCTCTCAGCCCTTGTATCTCTGAGGAGACAAATGAGGCTTTAATAGCAATACCCCAGCCGGATGAGATAAAGACCGCATGTTTCTCTATCCATGCTGATAAGGCACCAGGACCGGATGGCTTCTCAGCAAGTTTTTTCCAATCCAACTGGCACACTGTAGGCCCCCAAATCACACTTGAAATCCAGGATTTCTTCACCTCTGGTACCCTGCCTCATAACATCAACAGAACACATGTTAGATTGATTCCAAAAATAACAAGCCCAAAGAAGATGTCTGACTATAGGCCTATAGCTCTCTGCTCTGTCTACTTCAAGATCATCTCCAAAATTCTCACCAAGAGGCTACAGCCAATCCTCCACAGATTGATATCAGAAAATCAGTCAGCCTTTGTGCCCAAAGAGCCATTTCAGACAATGTACTCATCACACATGAAGTTCTCCATTATCTGCACTCCTCATCTGCAAAGCAAAGATGCTACATGGCCGTTAAAACTGATATGAGTAAGGCATATGACAGAATCGAATGGAACTTTATATCAGAAGTCCTTACAAGATTAGGCTTTCACCAAAGATGGATAAGCTGGATCCTCCAATGTGTCACCACTGTTAGCTACTCCTACCTCCTGAATGGATCGGCTCAAGGACTGGTCACTCCCCAACGAGGCATTAGACAAGGTGACCCTTTATCTCCCTACATATTCATCTTATGCAGTGAAGTTCTGTCTGGTCTTTGCAAGAAAGCACAAAGGGATAATGCTCTTACTGGAATAAAAGTGGGCAAGACAAGCCCTCGACTGAGTCACCTCCTCTTTGCGGATGACACCATGTTTTTTTGTAAATCTGACCCCCAAAACTGTACTACTCTACTGAACATCCTCAAGAAGTATGAGCTTGCATCGGGGCAGATGATTAACACAGAAAAATCCGCTATCACCTTCTCGACCAAAACTCCCTCAGATACAAGGCAAAGAGTCAAAGATCAGCTAGGTATACAAAGGGAAGGAGGACTGGGTAAATATCTCGGCTTACCTGAACTATTTGGAAGGAAGAAAAAAGATCTTTTCACTTCAATAGTCGACAGAATACGGCAAAGAGCTAGCAGTTGGTCATCTAGATTCCTCTCTGCAGCAGGCAAAACCACTATGCTAAAATCAGTCCTTGCTGCCATGCCAACTTACTCGATGTCCTGCTTTAAGCTCCCCAATTCACTGTACAAGAGAATCCAATCGGTGTTAACACGCTTTTGGTGGGACTCGACCATGGACAAGAAGAAAATGTGCTGGATTGCTTGGGACAAACTTACAAACTCAAAAAGAGAAGGAGGATTGGGTTTCCGAGACCTACAACACTTCAATGACGCCCTTCTAGCCAAAATTAGTTGGAGGATCCTCATCAACCCAAATTGCCTTCTAGCCCGAGTCCTGCTTGGCAAGTACTGCCACACCACTTCTTTCCTGAACAGTGTAGCTCCGGCTTCTACTTCTCATGGTTGGAGAGGGATCTGCATTGGTAAAGAGCTTCTAAAATCACAACTGGGAAAGGTAATTGGAAATGGGTCTGATACTCATCTCTGGACAGATCCATGGATCTCTCTTACCTCGCCAACCACACCAATGGGACCTGTACCTGAGCACCTCCAGAACATCAAAGTTTCATATTTCATTTCCTCCACAACTCTTGAATGGGACGTTAAAAAAATCGAAGAAACCCTCCCAGACTTTGTCGATCAAATTCTGGAGATCAAAGTAAGCAAACTAGGAGCCCCGGATTCTTTCTCTTGGCTCCCAACATCTTCAGGCCAGTACTCGGTAAAATCTGGTTACTATGAAAGCTTGAATTTGCACCCGGGCTCCACACTGCAGCAAGACCTGAACCAAGGTTTTGATTGGAATGCTCATATTTGGAACTCTAAAACTTCACCAAAAATGCAATTCCTCATGTGGAGAATGATGAGAGAATCTTTACCGGTGGGTGAAAATCTTTATAACCGCAACATCAATAAGGAGGCTCGCTGCCCTCTTTGCGGAGCTCGTGAGACGACCATACATCTTTTCTTCACCTGCACCTTTGCCTCACGTGTCTGGTCTTTGGCCCCCTTTAAAGACCAATTCGATCCAAACCAATATCGCACTCTCCGACTGCTCCTTGAAAACCTCCGAGACCGGATCTGCCTGCCCCCTGTGGGAGCTGGACCGGGACCACTTCACCCCTGGATCCTGTGGAAGATATGGACTGAGCGGAATCAACAAGTGTTCTCCAAAACCCATGCATCACCACAAGCCACCCTCTCCCAGGCCATTAACCTCTCTAGGGAATGGCAAGAGGCACAATCAAGAGAGAAAGATCCACCTCCAAAACGCGCAAAACAGAGACTCCCCCGGCCAGGATCCGATACGATAATCTGCAAATCAGATGCTGCTTGGGACAAGACAACGAAGCAGGCCGGGCTGGGATGGATCATAAGTAATCACCAGTCACAAATTTTGGCATCGGGATCCGCCTATACAAAGAATGTTAGATCTCCTCTTCAAGCAGAAGGACTCGCTATCCGTGACGCCATCACCCATGCCGTGCAACTCGACTTCACAAAACTCATAATAGCTTCGGATTCATCTCAACTTATCGAAGCCATCAACTCGGAGACTCCTCATAAAGAGCTCCACGGGATTCAACATGATATCCTTATCTCTGCATCTTATTTTTCTGCAATTGACTTTCGTTTTGTACCTAGAGAAGAAAACGAGGAAGCTGATGCGTTAGCAAAGCTTGCCTTGAAAAACTGTTGTTTTAGGCTAACCGAAGCCCATTAATGAAGTGGTATCCTTTTCGGCCCAAAAAAAAAAAAAAATCATTTTCTCCTATTAATATGTAGTTTAAAATAGGAGACCTACATTAATCCCTTCTTATTATCCTATTTGTCTGCTACATAGCCTATTTTCCAACACTAGTTTCTGTTTTATCTCTTCATTATTATAATATTTTATAATGTAATTTCGATTAAAATGAATCGTTTTCTCAGATTAATACTGTATGTAGTTTATAAAGATATTACTAATCCTACAGTAACCCATTTGTTTTCACTATGTATAACATATTGTCCTATACTAAATTTTCTGTTTTATCTCTTCACTTTAGTATAAATAATTCTCAGGTTATGTTAAACTAAACGAAATAACTATCTTCAATTAATATGTAGTTTATAAATATTTATTACTAATCAAAAACTAAAATTTAATCATATATATATCCAACTAAAATCCCACTCTCTCCTTTCTAGTCCATTTGGCATCCATAGCGCTAAAATATACATTTTCAGATATTTTGTAACTCTCATTGTAATATTTAAATCAAATAAATGTATTTTTATGCATCTTGTCACATATTTCATTAATTTTCATATTTTCCCACATATTTTAACTCTCACATTAATAATCATATCCATGTTTTAAGGCAATAAAATTTAGTATTGTTGACAAAAAAAAAAAATTGGTTAATTCGAAATTTTTTATTTTGACAATTTTTTGTTAGTAATGTTATTAAGGAAACTAATAATAACTAAAAATTCAAAAACATCTATTAATATGTATTAAATTAATAATTGCGTTTTTGTACCTCTTATTTTTTTCTGTTATTACGTATAGATATAAATTGATAGAAAATTTAATGTATTACTATTAACTACCCAATTAAATAAATAAATTTATACTATGCTCCTTAAAACCTATATTTCTAATGACATTCAATTATAATAAAATTCCTAGATAAAAATTATCAAAAAAATGTACCTCTATAGGGAATTGATAAATAGGGTTTCCTTGATAAATATTTTCATCTATCTATATTCAAGCTTTTCATATAATCTGTCTCTCTCGACAGACACAATTGCAAGAGAAACATATATTCCACAGACCAGAACAAAAAGAATTACTAACCTCTTGCAGACGCACTAGGAACTTTAACGTCGTCGCCCTTCAGGAAGAAGAATGGCTAAACAGAGATGCCTGCTCTCAAATGACATTCTGTGATCAAGCGACTCCTCCCACAAAGGCACAAATAATGAAATAAGACTTTGCTAACAGCTAAGCTATTGACAAAGTAAAATAAATTAATAAAAAATCATTTGACCAAAAAAATAAAAATAAGAAAAAATCAAAACAAGGTTGTGCACGTTATACCTTGGGTTAATCCTTAATTACTCATAAATTTAGTAATGGCCGTGTTGGTTTAACCATGTATGTTTTTATTTTTGGATGTTCCATGACCATCCTCAAGCACCAAGATAATAAATACTACACATAGTTGAACGTTGTTCTAAGTGTTTAACTATATGTAATATTCCAGTTTCATGGTGATACAGATGTTTAAAAGGATTGATTTAGTCACCTACTTTACTAAATTGCACTTATTTTTGGTCAAACCTCCTAAGAGAACTCCACAATTTAACATGTTTGAGCTGGTTTCATGATGGGTGATAATCTTTTAAACATATAAAATTGTATCCTTGTAAAAGATAAGTTTTGTTTATAAAATCAATTAGAGAAGTGTTGACTTGGCGCGTTCCATGTAAAAATCGGTGTGTTGTGTGTCTCTCTATACCTTAATAGGTTCTTTATCATCACTTCTTCCGGTTGTGGACTGGATTTTGATCATCTTTGAGGCAAATCTCTGGTTAAGTATTGTCATGAAAGATCGAAGAGAATGTGAAGTCACTCGAGATCAATAACAGAACACAAACGAAGAAACAGAGTAAACAAAGAAGATGATGGCACGCAATGTTTATGAGTTAAGATCAATTATCGCGATTGATCCTACATGTCAACTAGAATGGAATCCATCAATTCACTATCTCAAGATTACATATTCATCGAGCGTTACACAGATTCGGAGGTTCATGATCAAGATATCCATCCTTAAAAGATCATGAGTATGACTCTTAAACTTGCTGTTTTAACTACTCCAAAACCAACTTTGTTTCAATTACTATTTCGGTTTAATGTCCATAACCATTGCTTCAACACGATGAAAATATATTGACTGATAATCATATTCATACTTGAAAGTCCATATTGAATTCAAAACATGGCTCTGTTAACTAACTTTTCACAAAAATAATATTAATGGATAAATCGAATGATCATCAACTTTTGAATAAGTCTAATTAAGCAACTACAAATCAAGCTTTTGGAATTAATCCAGAATCAATCAATTCTGCCGAATCAAATAGTACAGCAGTAACAAATTGAATCCGTTGCAAAAACAAGAAGTTGAAAATTTATCAGACTTAGACCAAATAAAAATAAAAAGAGATAAGTGAGTTAAATAGTTCTAACCAAAAAAAACAAAAATTGAGAAGAGTGTTGAATGTTTCATTCCCGCGTTAAGATACAAATTATTTCTATACTATTTTGTTTTTATCAATGTATCCAAATCGCCGAACTGAACATTTTGGAAATTAACGTTGACTAATGATTTTAATTTGGTATTTATTTTTCTAGCTAATTAAAGCCAGATAATTCGTATCCAAATTTCTTTAAAAAAACGAATTAAATTTTAAATGTCCAAATCAAAATTGTTTTTTTTTTTAGTTTGAGTAACGCATAACACAAGTTACATACACCATTCCACGAAGATGCATGGATATTTTACACTTTTGTATACATACTACACTTTTTTACCATCTCTAAACACACCTTTATTAATAAAAAGCATTTTTAACAGAAATAATAAAAACCTTGGTAAACAAAAATGTGCCTTAGTGTTTCACCTTTAAACTTTTCAAATATATAAGCAAAGTAGTTTTTAGGTTGAAGTTTATTAGTATATTAGTATATGATATAACTCGGTCCCAAACATTGACTTATAAAACGAGTCTTTTTATCTATTTCAACAAACTTTTTAATCATACTTTCGATTTAATTAAGTAATATGGAAAAAATAAAATATTTTATTTCGTTTTGCAAAACATAGAAACACAAAATAGAGGCAAATTTCATAAATATCACTAAAATAATGATTTCCAAAAGTAGCATTATTAGTTTTATTTTTAAAAGTTGCCATGAAAATATTTTTTACAAAAATGATAGAAAACTAGAACTAAACTTTAAACATTGAAAACTAAACCCCTAAATCCTAAATGCTAAACTCTATCTCCTTAAAAGTTTACTATAAATGTAAAATAATTACCTCAACCCCCAAAGAAGACAACATTTTTAAAACCTTGAAAATCAATTTTTGTGCTTATGACATTTTTGAAAATGAAATTTCTGTAAAAGTTTTTAGAAAATTAAACTAACTAACAGTAATATTGTTTTGGAAAAAAACTTAAAAATGTGATATTTTGACTAAATTTGCTACAGAATATTTAACTTTCATATGAATAAAAAAACACAAAAAAAAATCATTTATATTTCCGCGTAACTAAAGTGTACTTATCAAAAATTTACTACAACAACAATAACAAGTCCGTACCACCAAGTCAACAAAACCCATGTTCCACTTTTAATTCTTCAACACGCTATTTTTTGTTTCCTCCTTTCTCAAAAATTGACCTTAAACAAATCTCTCTACCTACTTAAAACCATTTCATGTTCCAAACTCAAACACCATCATCATCATCATCATTACTACATCAAAACAAAAACACAACTACACAAGAAATGGGAAAGAGAGGACAAAAACAGAACAGGTTCTTGAGAATCATCACCATGCCTCTAAAAGTACTATGCAAAGCTCGTGATCTCTACATGAGAAGCATCACAGGCTGTGCAGCTCGAACTCACTACTCTTCAGCCGTCGACGCCGCCTCGGTTCCATTTCCGAGAAGCCGGAGCACTTCCTCAGCCTTCTCCTCCTCCGCTGCCTCTTCCCGGAGAAGATCTTCTGATTACACCTTTGATGATGACTATAGCGAGCTTCTTAGAGCTGCTTCGGCTAGGAGTTTAGGTCATAAGAACGAGATTGATATGATCATACATCAACAGCTTCAGCAGCAGCAGCTGCGGCAGAAGCAGCAGCTGGAGAATCGCGTTGCGGTTGGAGCGGTTGCGGTTGCAGTTACGGGAAAAGGCGGTTTGCCGAAGAGTTCGAGCGTAGGGATTACAATGGCGAGGATTGATGAAGAAGAAGAAGAAGAAGAAGGATCTTTTAAGAAGGGATCTGAGATCTTATTATATCCTCGTAGTAGATCACATGCTGTTACCATCAGAGGATCCAAGTTTTAATTTTACTAATTATCTAATTAAGTTTTCATTTTGGCTTTTAAACGTATTTTTCTTGAAGTTATTACGTAATTAATTAATGAGAGTAAAACAAATGTGGAGCTCCTAGTTAATTATAATTTTTATGTAAAGTTATTTATATGGATTTATACCCAAAATAAAAAAGAAAGATACTGTCATATATATCTATACTATTAATTGGGAAGCACAACTTGAAACCAAACACCCCCTAATTGAAAAAAAAAAAATCATGAAATATATTCCATTTGCCAAACAAAATTATTGACAGCAAAAAAAAAAACTAAAAAACTAAAACAATCTATATTTATGGAAATCATAATAATCTTTTACCATAAAAGTAGACAATTAAATTCAAAATTAATATATGTAAACATGTCTATTTTGAATATACGTTAACATATTTAATATTAATTTAATATTTTAATATAATTTCGAAATTAATAGAATAAATATAGAATGAAATCTAATAAAACAAAATCATCATATATCTAAAAAACAAAGATAAATTTTTTATAGATTAATAAAAAGATAAAAAAAATATGTTAGCATATGAAATAATCAACTAATCAAATTTTACATAGTATATATACATCATCAAATTTTTAAAAATTATATAATTTTTAAATATAAATAAAAATTAAACAAATCAATAATTAAATATTTTTTTGCTAAAATCATGCGAATAAACATTTTAGATCACATAAGTTTCTTATTTTCACATAAAAAATATTCATATTCAAAAAGCAATCTAGCAATTATAGCACAAAACATATCTACAAAATGTATCATTAATTCAATTAGTTAATGATTTTTTATTTGGTCAAACAGTTAGCTTATGATTATTCTAAACTTCTTTTGCTTATTAATTTCAAACAATCTTAACAAAATAAATCTTCATCCATTGGCAATTTGCATATCATTACTATTATCAAATATTAAATAATTGTTTTATCAAATATATTCCAGTTGCCAAACAGAATTATTGACAGCAAAAAAAAAACAAAAACAATCTATATTTATGTAAATCATAATAATCTTTTACCAAAAAAAGTGGACAATTAAATTCAAAATTAAATATATGTAAACATGTCTATTTTGAATATACATAAACATATTTAATATTAATTTAATATTTTAATATAATTTCGAAATTAATAGTATAGATATAGAATGAAATCTAATAAAACAAAATCATCATATATCTAAAAACAAAGATAACATTTTTAGATTAATAAAAAGATAAAAAAATATGTTAGCATATGAAATAATCAAGTAATCAAATTTTACATAGTATATATACATAACTGATCATATCATCAAATTTTTAAAAATTATATAATTTTTAAATATAAATAAAAATTAAACAAATCAATAATTGAATATTTTTTTTGCTAAAATCATGCGAATAAACATTTTAGATCACATAAGTTTCTTATTTTCACATAAAAAATATTCATATTCAAAAAGCAATCTAGCAATTATAGCACAAAACATATCTACAAAATGTATCATTAATTCAATTAGTTAATGATTTTTTATTTGGTCAAACAGTTAGCTTATGATTATTCTAAACTTCTTTTTTCTTATTAATTTCACACAATGTTAACAAAATAAATCTTCATCCATTGGCAATTTGCATATCATTACTATTATCAAATATTAAATAATTGTTTTATCAAATCATTAACTACATTTTGAGATTATAAACATATAGAATTTCTATTAAGATTAAAACTAAATAACAAGTGGATATATCACATTTAAATTATTTTAACGACTTATTACCAATTTTTAAATAATAAATGGATTATATTTTATGATTTAATCTAATTGAAAACAAATAAAATGTCAAATTGGTATGATATAATAAATAAATATCTACAAACATTATCTCACATATACATATAATTTTAAACTATCTTTGAAAAATATGATATATAAGTTTTGCATAACCGGTTGAAATAAAAAAAAAATTGGTGGTTATATTTAATTGTCAAAATCTCAAAATATTGTACAAAATTCAACATTGGGACGTATAAATCTCTACTTTTGGACGATTATATGAAATTTTACATATATTAAAATAATATTTAGTTACATGTAAATGGTGTTATTTATTAAAAAAATATAAACTTATAGGAATGGATACAAGACGGGAACTTATAATTCGAAAACAAACATTATCTGAATTATTTCTCATAAATAAAAAAAGCATGATCAGATATAATTGTTATGAGACATGGTTATAAAGTTAAATTCACTTTCAACTTTCAAATATAAAACTACGAGTATGATACGGGACATGTAATTTAAATTGCTAAATTTAATTTCCACTTTCCTATTTATTTCAAATATTTAGACATGATATGACGGGTACAAGAAGATAACGTATACTTCGGATAACAAAACTACAATAAATCCATGTATTAAAAAAAATAGAAATACCTAAGTCTTTAGAAAACAAAAAGGCTAAAACATGAATCTTTGAATTGAAGAAAGTAATGAGAAATAAAGATGAAACGGAAAGATCAATAAAATTAAAAATCGAACAAGGATTGTGTATGATAGGATTACAGACAGTGCCTTGTGGATGAAAATGGTGGGAGCATGTGATTTAGATTGATAATTAGATTTTCATTAGTTTGATAAAAATAAATATTTAAACAAGGAATACGGGTATCGCATCTAAATATTTTACCAAGTTTCTTATAATAAACATTGGCAAAATGATTATGTTTTAAAAATAAACGATTACGGGACAGAAATTTTATGATAGATAGAAGACGGGACGGGACGGGACGGGGTGGGACGGGACGGTTCAGGACAAAACATAAAGGGACAGGACGGGTTTTCCATTCTAAACTACACATAAAACAATTCAAACTAAAGCCATACCCAAATCCGATTTAACATCTCTAAGCAAACAGTGAAATATTTTGATTAGTTTAAAAAATAAACAATGAATATCATTTATCATTCTCATATAAATAATTTTAAAATTGTATTATGTAATACAATATCTATATTTTACAACTGTGTCTCTATATATAGTTTATCAAATAAACTCATATAACAAAATTTTACCAAAATAGCATCTATTTAACAAATCGTGATTTTGTAAAAATAACTCCGCACGTACGTGCGGGTCCATCACTAGTATTTTTTTAAATTCGTATAAAATATTACGAAAACAATCTAAGTTTCAGTTTATATTTTTGGTAAGGAATCTAGAGTTGAACAATTCATAATGAGAATTAAAATTGAGCAATAAAGTAAAGAAAAAATAAAACATGCACCGTAAATGGAAACAATATAAATAAAAATAGAATAGTGATTTTCGAGTAATGAACTTTTTAATTTGTAAACGACTTCAATTTCATGTTGTCTACTTTTCTAGACCAGAAAAAGCAAATGACACGAAGGTATTTTTACGTGATCTATATATAAAGTTGAACTAGTTGACCCAAGAGATATGTTTTCTTTTTGGAAAAAGGTGGACCAGAATCTGAATTCAGGTGATACAGAAACAGGATTTACTTGATAAGAATGTAATAGGCTATTATGATTTCAGATCCAATATAAAAAAAAAGAATGTGAATTGCATATACACAAAAAGAAAACTTGACGACAAAAAAAAAAAATACACAAAAAGAAAACTAATTTGATCGGCTTATAAGATTATGTACCAAACCATTAACTTTCAAACAAGGGTTTTGTGCAGAAAATTTTGCTAATGAAGTTGCCAGTTTTCTAATTTTATATTCCCATTTTTTTTAATTACAAATCAATCATACAAAGTTAAAAATATATATAGAATATTAATATTTGTCATTATAAAATAAATAATATGTAATATAAATCTAGGAGTCTAATTCTACACTCAATTTTTTAAAATATAATATTTGTGATGGTAGAAACGTTTACAAGATGCGTATAAAAATTATATTGCGTATTTTTTCCATATGATTAATCTGTATTTTTGTTTAAAAGGTAAAATTAATAACGAAATAAACAAAAGCAAATTAAATTTAGTATATTTTTATGTTTTCCATGAACTCGAGTTCTATTATTAGATCATATGATGATGATTGGTAAAGTTAGAAAAGCAATGTTGTAACGCTTAAACACGGAAAAATCAATGATTTATTGAATTCGTGTTTCTAGTTGCACTCTTTTTATTTATATCTAATATGTTTTTATTTTTATTTTGTCTTCATTTATATCTAATATCTAAATTCTCAATATCGCTTTGTTCATCCTACACTTCATACAATCACACATGTATACTCGTGTCGACATGTGTAGTTGCACTTACATAAATATGCACTTAATATAGCAACTTGTGGTTGCACAACAATTAATTGTTCTTTCGAAAACATTAATTTCGGCTATTGTCTTTATTGTGGCTCAAGTCATATGTTCACCAAACTTTTTCGCCGCATTTACCAACTTTAGTTCATAATTTCGTTTACTGACCACCCGCATTATTGTAATGGACTTACCGACTAGGTGGGAATTGTTAAACCTTATATATATATTTTTGGATTCATCCTTCAAATCCAAACCATTTTAAATTATAATTCTAAAAATAGCCTAGTAGGGAATTAACTACAATATTGGCAAGAAGTAAAAAATAGAACTTCGTTTGTTGAAATTAAGGTATAAATATTCTAGGAAGGCAAAACATAAAGTTTGGAATTAGTTGTTTGATAATTAGTTGTCCCTCATCAGCTGGTATAAATAGACAAAAATACGTTGTTTTATTTAACAAATTATTTAGACATAGTAAAATAAGTTTCGACGATATTATTATTCATCAAACAAATAAGTGAAATCATGTTATAAGTTAAATGAATGACTATTGAATTATCATGATATCAATATATATATATATATATATATATATATATATATATATAATTTATAAATACATCATGTTAAACTAAATTGTATAGCGATAAATTATGATTTATGTGATAAATTTATATTTACCGTGTTAACTCAATTACTATATCACATACAAAAAAAAAATGTTAAACCCTACTATATAATTATGAATGTCAAAAATAGTAATAACATGTTAAGAAATATTATTTATCATCAATTACAATAAGATAAAAATGTAACTACCCCAACCAAATTGGGTTAGACAATATAATAAAGATAACAATAACGATAATGTGTTACATTTACTTGTACATGCTAAAATACTTCAACTTCAGAATATTAATTATTTTATCGAATTAACACATTATCTTTATTGAAGAATCATAAACATTACAAAACATATTAGATCACATTGTATTGCGATACATTACCAGCTATATAGTAAACTCATAATTATCGTGTTAATTCGTTTATTGTATTATTCATAATTGTTGCGTTAAATAAATTATCGTGTTAATTAATTTATTATCGTATTAAAGCATTTAGTATCGTATTAAATCATATCGTTGAAGTTAAAAGAAACAGATAAATAATTATCGGTATCTATTTTTTTTATATTGCTAAAATTTTTGTTAAAGGTATAAAGCTATTTTGGTCCAATTTACACAAGGAAGAGAGAGAACTAACTTAGAAAAACTATCATTATATACTTATTTTTATGGTCTTTTATGTATATAGAGTAGTAATACCCAATATTATATTGCTAAAAATTTTTTTTGTTTCTAATAATTAAAATAAATAGATTTTCTAAGTTGAATTAGGTTAATTAAGTCTCATATAGCCTTCGTTTACTTACGTCCATTGGCTAGGTAAAATGATGGATCGATTTACTTCTCTTCTGAAGTAGACTATGATTTGCAGATGCTGTTGGAGGATGGTTTTCACTTTGGATTCGACACACTTATGCTCATCTATTTTTTCTAAGTTTTTTAGGGGTCTTACACTTAACCTTTTTTATTATCTTCTCATTATTAAACATACCATTTTTTACTTTTAAAAGAGGCTTCGATAAACCTTTTGATTTCTGCAAACATAATAACAACAATTATTTATATTAAAAAAATCAAATGTAAATGTACTTTTTATTATATTTTTACTTTTAAAGAAGCATCGATACAACTTTTCTCTTTAATAATAATAATAATAAAAAATAACAAGAAAAAAATAACAATAATAATAGCAACAATAGTTATCAAAATTTTCAAATATAAAGATAAATTTTACAATGTTTTGACACAATATATCAGTACTACAATTCAATATATTTATTTTGATCATTTTCTTAAATTATGATTTAGAAAACTTATGAATATCATCAAATAATAACATTTCAACATACTTATTTGTACAACCAATGCCCACATATGCATTAATTAATGGCTAAGTTTTGTTTATCGTATTCGTACATGTATTCTAGTGTAAGCAGTTCGACATATATCATCTTTGGTCATTTCAAAGAACTCAATTACTTACACATTCCTATTCTTCAACAACCCTTTTATCTCCAATAATGTCTTTGATGCCTTCAAATATTCTTTTACTGCTTTTGATTTTGTTTTTGATTTTTATTTTAACGTTTTGATGACTACTTTTTATATGCATCAAAAACGCTGAACGTATTTTAATCTAAAATGCATCAAAAACTACCTCCTTTTAATATATATCAATATTAATTTTTAACATATCCAAATATGGTATCAATCTTAAGTTTTGTTTTAAAATAGACTATATATATATATATAAATAGATTAACGACATCGAAGTTACATTCTCAAATAAACTAGATACTTATATACATCACTAATCATTGGTCTAAGTTAATCATTGGAACTTTTGGGATTATCTAGTGTTGAATGTAATATAGAGTGAAGTTGATTAACAAACAAAAGGTCCACAAATAGTCGAAACAAATAATATCGTTTCAGTTTTGCAAATCATGATAACTTAAGCCTTAAGCCACCCACGAATCTTAGTATCCAGAACATTGGCAATGTAACTATAGCCAGCTTCCGTTGGATGTATCGAGTCAAAGAACATAAACTCCGAGCGATTCTGACACATGGTAGAATAAGCATTACACATGAAGCTTGTCTCTAGGTATCCTGATCCACAACATCCTCTCGTCGTCTCTTTAAACCCTGTTTTAATCCCACATACAAGAATGTTATAATCAATGCTCAATATTATCTCATAGGGGTAACTTTTGGATCAAGAAAGGTGTTTATATGTAATACCGTATTTGCTAGGTCTTTGGATCATGTCCATCATAGGGTCATAGACATTAGAGTAAAGTATCTTGCTTTCTGTTAGTGATCCTTCGATCTGAGGTAAGAGCTTCTGAAGTTTTTGATTGTATAAAACAGAGTCTCTGTTTTCTTGTTCCAAACAAAACCTAAGGACGTTGCGGAACTGAGCAGTCATTTGAATCGGTAAACATCCCATTGGTGGTAAACCTCCGACCAAAAATTTCCGGCAACCGAGACTGTAAAGCTCCTGCGAAAACACCGGGAGATGATACGAGATATTAACTAGACTAATTCATAAAATACACCATACTTTAAGTTGCGAAACCCTAATTTCTTGTATGAGGTACAATATATACTTTACCCGCACGAAATTGTTAAGCATGTTAAGTACAAACTCTTGGTAATCAGAAATGGTAGGATACTCTCGACGCCACGAAGGAACATCGTAATAATTCAAGATGAAATCGTTAGGTCCTGCACTCACAACCACAAAAGCATTGTTTATGATCTTCATGGCTTTCTTGTCTCCCACGATACTCTTAAGACGAGCAATGTAACTCTTTAACATATTTGGTTGTTCCGAGACACGAATCGCTTGTGTCGAGAGACTGGTTCGGTCATCGTAACCTGCACCAGCTGATGCGAAACAGACTCCGGTCAAGATCTCTTGGTCGGTGAGATTCGGTTGTAAGAAAGGAGGAACAAACTGTTTGATGTTGAGTTTGGTTGCGATTATGTCGGAGAAAATTTTCCCGTTTGAGAATCTTCCGTTAGGTGAGTGGCTTGGGAAATCAATACCGTAAGGAACATGTTTAGCTTTGAAGATTATTTCTGAAGGATAGTTGTTGTTGCCTGTGTCAACGGTTGAATCGCCGAAGATCAGAATCGCTGGAAAAAGCGGTTGCGATTTCGCGTTTGCGAACACGAGTAGTGTTGTTGTGATGAAGAGAGTGAAGGCTATGGTTATAGACGTCGACATTTTTTATTATTGTTTTAGTTTTATAGATTTAAGGAAATGTGTTGTTTGGTCATGAATTTATAAGAAGTTTTTGTTGGTGATTTTTTTCACCACCTGATTAGTGTTAAACAAACAATCTCGTAACAACTATTAATAAATTAAAACGAATTTAATTTGGTTCACTTATATTTCGCAGCCACTTAATATAGTAGACCAATTTGTACAACTTCTTTGTACTCGGTTCTGAAATGAAATTTATTATGTTTGATAATTAGACCAACATCTATGTAGGTGCGTCAATATCGTATAGTTTTCACCACACATTTACGTAGCATTAACGAGACGAAACTACCAACTTATTTTCATAACTTTGTGGTGCATTTACTAACTCGAGTTGTGAAAGAAAATATCATAGTTGTCGGAAAATATGTTCACTGGGTGAAGGTTCAGTTGGTTTATCTGATAGCCAAAATGCAGGCGATTTAACTATTCCCTCACATTAGTCAGAAAATATTCCAAATTCGAAACAAACAGTGTAGTGATCTTTCTAAAAATAGTCTATTTTGAGATTGACCGGATTAGTCGATAGGGTTTATAAAAAAAATATCCGACTTGTGGGACTTGTTACAAAACCTATATATTTAGGACTCTATCTGAATCTAATCCTTTGTCTTCTCTAATTCTACATTAATTAGCCTAATAGTAATAGGTAAGTGATTGTAACATGGACCTGAAAAGGACTTCGTGTTTGGTCATTTGCATAATACACATGGACCACATGGTCTGCATGGACATGGTCTACACTCTACATAATTGTCGAACGGTTGCTTGTATGGAAGTAGATGAGCATGTACTAGCTAGGGTGAAATCGGTTATGATGATTCGGATCACCCGAGAGAAAGGGGACGTGTAATGATTTGGAACATTAATTTAACTCTTTTAAGCTCGTGAAGAACTGAAAAGTTTTAATTACTATAGTTGGAACATTTCTTTTTAAGTGTTGTAATCTTAAAAGCGTTAAATAAAGATTTTTATTAAGTATCTGGAAATTATTTATTAAGTTCGGTGATCTTGAAGTAAAGTAACAGTAACCTTATTTTATTTATGATCTTGCATGTGCACTAAGAAAACAAGCATTTATTATAAAATAAATGAATTTCTAATTAATTATGTTTCTATTTTAATGTAGTCAAAACCACATGTTATACTTATGCAAAAATGAATTATTATTATTATTGTGATTATTATTATTATTATTTTTCATCATGAGAATTATCCTTAAAATGAAAAAACCATATTCGCGCCTCCGCGAAAATTCTTATACGAATACATATATGGATAATGCTAAATTTTAAAACGGATAATAGATATCCAAATAATTTGGACAGGATATCCAGTATTTGGATGCGTATATCCAATATTTTGGTATAAAATATCCGGTACTTTGATATTTTAATACATATTTACGAATATCCGCAGATAATCGTATTTTTAATTAATATCCGAATTTTTGGATACGGATACAACTTCTAAAATCACGGATAATACGGATATCCAGTCAACAATCATTTAAAAACAAACAGGTTGTGTGACCAATTTTTCTCTATGATTGATATAAATAAGCAAAGAGCAAAAAAAAAACAAACAAAACTCATAATATTACAGTTCATGTAAAATTATGTAAATTAGACTAAAATAACAAAAAAAAACTCCATAATTATGTACATATGAATTTTAAATAATTATTGCATAACTTAGTAAATATAAACAAAACAGAAAAGCATTTTTTTAATAAGGTAGAGACTTGGATACGTAATAAGAAAGAAGTGTATACCGTTTAGCAAGCAACTAAAGATACAAGTATACAAACCATATCATAACCTATAATAAAAACAGATATAATAATCATTGCATTTTGACATTTTTTATACGTTTCAATAACACTAACACAACAACAAAAAAAACTCACGATATGCAATCCAAACCTTTCATTTTTTTCCCTTTGTATGACATTTTCTTGTGACGACAGAACCAATCGAAACTATGAACATTTGGTTGCTCCTTTAACTGGAGGAGCTCTGTAGTAAGCAGGTACAGTTGCTGGGAAAAACATCTGCCTAACTCCTTCAGCTCTTATTATCGGAAATATTATCCCCGATGCTCCCTGCGATTTTTCGCTTTATGCGTTAAGATCATATTGATACAACTAAAATTATATTTGATGAAACTGAATAATGTAATTCGTACCCATATCAATCTGCCTCCAAGCCAGATTCTTTTGGGCGAAGGGAATGGGATTAACAACCGTATGACTCCATAAACCGCAACCGCAAAGAAATGGCAGACAAGTGTTAACGGTCGAGGGTTCAAACCCGAAAGCAAAGACACAGGTCCAGTTGTGCACATGCCCCCGAGGCCCAGATAATCGAAGCACGCTTCTCTCATCTCGTTTTTTGCTTCATTTTCTGATGAGCAGAAGACTTGGTAAAGAGCATTCGCGAGGGTGTTAATTGTGGCTGCCACTGGCTGCAAGGGAGCATTTATAAAACACTGGTTCACACTTTGACAGCAATATAAAGCTTAAATATCTTAATTCTTATATAGACTACAAATTAGTCTGCAATTGACGTTTTACCTTTCGCAGAGTATAAAACGATTCGAGATATTTGCAGAGACTAGCACCGTCACTTAGGTCACGCAGAGGTCTAAGAAGATTACGCAGGACAACAATGTCAGATAATGCAACGGTCATTCCTCCACCTGTTAAAGGATGACGCATGTTAAATGCATCTCCCATTAACAGTGCCCCTGGAGTAGGATAAGGAGAAGCTGGCATGCTTCTGTTTGGCATGGACTTAATATTTCCTTTTTCAACCGCAGCAATGAAAGCGTCATAAACCTCATGAGGCATCTAGACAAGAAGAGAAAATAGACAAATTTATCAACAAAGAAAAGAAAAATGCCATGAAGTGAAGTGCAGAGTGTGAAAAAAGCGCACATACCTGTGGAGCCACAACAGTCTTCAAATACTTTTTCATTTCTCCATTTGCAATGGAAGGCAATTTCTGACCAGGAACATCAACTAGACACCGGACCTCTGTGCTACTAATTGGATACATCAAAATTGGTGATGGATCTGCTAAGACGACATGTCCATGGTTTGCATATGGGAGATTGCAGTTCTCTAGGACTAAACCGACAAAACAAGAAGGCACCTCAACCTGCGTGAAGATAGTACATATATATACTAATTACTTATGAAGCTAATGCAGTGTTATTTGTTTTTGGAAAATCAGCTGACATTAAATCTTGATATGACAAAACAGAGAAAGGCAGTAAACAGCATGTTACCTGAGGATTGCACAGAGAGCGACGCAGATTTGAGAAACAACCATCGCAAACTATAGTTAAGGATGCAAATGCTGTTTGTTCCTCTCCTGCTTTATTCTTGTATCTCACACCTTTGATAGTCCCATTCTCTTCTAGAAGAGAAACAACTGTTCCTTGCTCTAGCTTAACACTGTTGAGCATATCAGTAGAAACAGCCATTAGTAGTACATAAGTAGCTCCCATATGTATTATTTAGATATATTGCCTCATATCAAACAAAGGACCAGTGATTCAATCAACAGAGAATAAAATGAAGAAAAATATAAATCAGTGATAACAGTTTCTCATGCATCTCCATTTATAACATAAACTAAAACAATTTCTTAAACTGCGATCAATGCCAAGGAATTTCTCATAAGTGTAGGTAAAGAAAGCAAAAGGATAAAAGGTCCATAACACCTCGAGGCGTTTATAAAAAGAAGAAACATACTTGGGAAGTGAATCAGCTTTCTCCCGCATTCTTTGTATAAAGCGTCCATTGTGAAAGCTCCTTCCAGCTACATCTTCGTGAAACTTCTCCAAGGGATAACCTAACCGAATGCGTTTCCCATCCTTAAACAGTCCATAACCATACACACGCTGAGCATCTATTCCCTCCACACAATCTGCAGATAGCATCCTTGATGTCATTTAACTAGTAAAAAACTACAGAGCAAACTAGAGGTGACGAATAATTGCCCCATGGATTCTCAACCAAATCTTTCCTTACCTTCAATCCCCAACTCCAGTAACTTAAGGTATCCCCCAGGTTGTAACAGCTCCCCAACAATACGATCAGGCTCCGATAAATCTCTTTCAATCACGTGAACTCGACGCTTATCCTACAACATAAGATCACAAATCAATGTGCAATTTAGCACTTCTAGCACACTAAGAAGCAATTAATTTCCTTATACAACAGACATAAAATAAAAAGCCTAGACACAAACCAGTAGACACTGTATATAAACCAATAAATAAATTCTCCAAATGAACCAACAACCATAACATAATTAATCCTGTTTTGTAATCTAGTTAGCTTCTCACTCAACTTAATCCTCAAAAGTCCAAGAAGAACAATAAATTTAAACATTTTCCCCAAATAAATTAGCGTTAGTTGACCATGCTAAATCACAATAAACTCGTGGATTCCGCGAAACAAGTAGTTTTCGAAACGAAGACGTCTCAAGAAAAAGGACAAGAAACGAGTCGTGCAATGTGGGCAAAACATTTTAAAAATATATCACTAACAGTGTTGAGTTGACTCACGCAAAACCCAAGAACTCATGCATTGTGTAAAAACAACAATTTGTAATCACAATCCTTGATTTGAATCTATGCATATTCCAGTAAACCTTTCAATCCAAATCCACTAAACAAGAACGAACTGCTTCAACACAAACAAAGAATCTCAAAATTTGCTTTCACTACAAATACATTGCTTCATCATCCTTCACTAATCTATAATCACCATATCACCGAATCAAATCCTCTAAACCCTCTCTAATTCCGAATCCTTACACTACCGAATCAAACAGAAGAAGCCAAAAAATAATAATTGAAACAGACCTTTCCAAGAGTATAAGCAAGAGCAGAACCAGCAACACCAGCTCCAACAACAATAACATCAGCGACGGTGTCTCCGGTGATATTAACGGATCCGACGTCTGAGGTGACGGTAGAAACGGTCCGATCGTGACGGATACTGTTGTTCTTCTTCGGCTTCACGAAAAATCCATAAAAAACGAAGACGGAGAAGAAAAGAGCAGAGATCGATAAAGGCGAGATCCAATTCCATAAATGTGACTCCATCTTCGTTTTGGAATTTACAGAGGATTTTTTTGCTTTCTGCGGAAACAACGAGAAAGAGAAAGGAAATGTAATGCAAGTAAGTAAGTATGTATATATGTTTTATTTTTTTTCTATTTTTATTTGTTAACTTTTAGGAAAAATCCAAGTTTGTTTACGCTGGCAATTTTGTTGTGTATATCCTTAAAATATTCGTGTTGTTGGTAATCTCAAACTGGGTAAGTGGTAACGACAAAAAATCAGAATTAAAATATTTAACAACATAATTAGTGAGTTGTTGGGCCTCCTCTCAAGAATAAAGGAAAGCCCAATAGAGAAGTATTCGTTCGGAGAAATCTAAAACGACGTAGTTTGGAGCTGTCAAACTAGTTGAGTATCTTCTCGAATGTTCGTTTTATATCACAGTCGACTCAACGCACTTCGTAACTTCTCCCACCGAATTTTCTAGAAATCAGAACTTCAAAATCCACCATGGATTCTTCGGCCATAGCTATAGCAGCGGCTAAAGTTTCTGATGGCGACGATGAACTGGAGGAGGAAGAAGGAGAAGAAATCGAATCGGCTCCTCCTCTTCAAATCGGAGAAGAAAGAGTTCTCGGTGCCTCCGGTATCAAGAAGAAGCTTCTTAAACTCGGTGCTGGGTACGAAACTCCTGAACACAGTGATGAAGCCACAGGTTCTCTTCGAATTCGTTTTGATTAGAATTGTAATCGCATTCATGAATTTAGATGATTGGTTTTGATTGGAACGGAATGATTTTTTTTTTGTAGTTCATTACGTTGGTAGTTTGCTTGATGGAGAAATCTTCTATTCAACAAGAGATAAGAGTGAACCTGTGACTATTACTTTAAAGGTTGATGAAGGTTAGATTTGTTTCCTTTCTTTGTTTTCATTCTTGGTGTTCTTATATTTCTTAGATTGACTGATCCGGTTTCAATGAGTTTATAGTTAGGGCTCCTCGAGGCTTAGGAGATTGCATTATGACAATGAAGAAAGGAGAAATTGCATTGTTCACTTTGCCTGCTGATCAAGGTTATGGAGCTCAGGGATGTGATAATGTGCCTCCCAATTCTGTTATTCAGTTTGAAATTGAACTTTTCTCGTGGATTACTGTTATCGATGTTCGAAGAGATGGAGGTATTATCAAGAAAATCCTAGAGAAAGGAAGTAAGAATGGGAAGCCTGGTGATTTGGATGAAGTTCTTGGTTAGTATGTATCCACGGCTAGTTGTCTTGTATGACACATCTTGAACTGGTGATAATAATGACCAATATGTTGTTTTCATTTTTGTAGTGAAGTACCAAGTTGAGCTTCGTGATGGTACTGTTGTGGCCAAATCACCGGATGAAGGCATTGAGTTTTGTGTGAATGATGGTATTTGACTTTAAATTACACTGTATATAGTTATGAAGTAGTCTGTATTCATTTCGTTTCTAATTAGGTATGCATTGGTTTTTAGGTCATCTATGTCCAGCATTGCCACTGGCAGTTGCAACCATGCGTCCTGGAGAAAAGGCCAAATTGATTGTCCAGCCTCAATGTATGGGGCGCTGTCACTTCGAAAGTTTTCAGTTTTTGTTACTGTGAAATCCTTTGCTAGAATCTGATAAATGTGCAGATGGCTTTGGAGAAGAAGGAATTCAAGTGGAAATATCAAGGCTGTTCCACCAAACTCTGTGCTAAATATTGACATAGTGCTGGTTTCCTATAAACCTGTTATTGATGTCGTGGGCGATTCAAAGGTTCTTAAGAAAATTCTGAGAGATGGTGAAGGCACAAGTGTTGCAGATGATGGTGCCACTGTTACTGGTACGTGTGTGTGTAAGATTTAGTCACAGCATTTATTTTGACCATATCACTAGAATCTGAAAACTGGATTACGAGTTAGAGAAATTCTCTTAGGGATTATGCGTTTACATTCACTCAAGCCGAAAATATATGTTATCTTGTCCTAGCTGGCATGACGTAGTTTGAAAGTTCAATGCAGTCAGTTATGTTGCAAAGCTAGAGGATGGAACTACATTCGAAATGAAAGGAGTTGGGGAGGGGGAGCCATTGGTTTTCATAACAGATGAAGGTATGTCAATGTATTCTAATAAATCTTTTGGTTCTAGCTTTGCAACATAACTGACTGCATTGAGCTTGAATTGCTTACGTGGTTTCTGTTGAACTATTTATAGAGAAAGTGATCTCTGGCTTAGACAAAGCTGCTGCAACAATGAAACGAGGGGAAAAGGCGGTATTGACAATAAGTCCTGAGTATGGATTTGGAAATGTGGAAGTCCAGTGTGACCTCGCTAAAGTCCCACAATGTTCAACTCTTATATATGAAGTTGAAATGTTAGACTTTGTCAAGGTAATACTGGGACCTGAAAGTATTGGATATTGAGCTCTGAGTTCTTGTTCTGTATATTCTTTATTATGTCCATAGTTCTGAACCATAGCGAAAATTTTCCTGTGTTTGGTTGATTGCTTAACAAAATCTGAAATATTATTTCATATCAGCAATATAGCTCTATAATTACCATGGAAAGATTTTATTTCAAATCTTTTGAAACACTAAGTTTTTCTGTTGTTTCGTTGACAACAGGAGAAAACACCCTGGGAGATGAATAATGAAGAGAAAATAGAAGCTGCTAATGGAAAGAAAGAACAAGGCAATCTGCTATACAAAAATCAAAAGTACCAGCGAGCAGCTAAGAAATATAATAAGGTGGTTCACCAGAAAAAGTATAATTGAAATTAACACAAGCTACTTACAGCTGTAGAGTTCTACCACAGTTTTCGTTATCAAATCTGGAAACTAGCCATATTGAGCAAACACTTGACATATACCATTCGAATCCCTGACATGTATACTTGGAACATGGTAATGTTTACAGGCTGCAGAATGTATTGAGAATGGCTTTTTTGAAGGTGATGAAGAAAAGAAAGTCAAGGCTTTGAGAGTATCCTGCTTCTTGAATGGTGCAGCCTGTAGTCTAAAACTAAAGAATTTTCAGGAAACAATCAGTCTATGTTCGGAGGTAAACAAGTTCAAGAAAAAAGAAGTAAACTCATATCTAATGAGACTTGGTGGCTTTCCTCTTTCGTTTCAGTTACGCAATTTATAACCTTTCCGTAGTTTAACATCCACTAGATGTTCTGTGTGCCTGTGTAAAATGAGTAGCAAATTACTTGCTCTAAAGATGATAAGATCTCTTTCTTTCTTTTTTTTGGTTACAGGTGTTAGGTATTGAGTTCCAAAATGTGAAAGCTTTGTATAGGCGAGCACAATCCTATATCGAGTTGGGAGATTTGATATCAGCAGAAATGGATATAAAAAAGGCTCTGGAAGCTGATCCTGAGAACCGGTAAAAGAAACTGCATATGTAGTTTATGGCATCCTCATTTCTCCTGGCCTTATTATGCATTGACACTCTAAATTTCCAGGGAAGTGAAGTCCCTTCACAAGACGCTGAAACAGTCTAAAGCTGATAGCAACAAAAGAGACGCTAAGCTCTATTCAAACATGTTTGCACCATCTAAAGTAAGTTTCCGCTGTCTTTAGTTATCATATTCATTCGCCAGAAAATTAAATTCGATTTCGATTCTAAAAGTTGTGATGATATCTTAATATATACTTGTGGCAGAAATTAAAACTTACGGAGACAGAAGAAGAGAAAATGGCAACAAACATAGACACTACAGAGCATTCTAGTGAACAGTTCAGTTGAATCACAATGCCACAGACAGATAGGTAATTTATGTGGCTTTGCATGAAAGAACCATGCAAAAGTGTAGTTCAATGTCATGAAACATACTCAAAATAGTAAAAATATTGGAATTTGGGATTTTGAAGTAGTGGAAATAGCTGATTTGATTCAAATATATCTTTTGTGTAACTCATGTTGTTGCTCTAGAATGTAGATTATGACCATGGAGTCTTCTGGCCTTAAAAGCACAGGTTTGAATCTTCTTCAATGGAAGTAATAAGTTTTGATTATGGGATTTCAATATATGAAAGTTTGGTGTAGAACATTATGGTATTAGGAATGTTTAATTAGCCTTTGTTTATCATCTAAGCACAAATATAAGGTTGATAGATATAGAACTGCAGAAATGACTATGTGCAAGAACTTAAATCTTGTTGACTTCTTGAAATATTAACTTTTATACTATTTTCTATAATTTGTGTTCTACTTCTTTTTTTTATTATCATTTTGTGTGGCCGTACTCGCTATAGGTCCATGCTTAAGCCAATATTATGATTTGAGGGGTCTTAAGATTGGATATCATGTATTTGGTAGTTTAGTTGATAAATACAAAATATTTTGATATTTTCATCATTTATCAGCATAGCTGAATAATGATTGTCATGTTTTTTACGTAACTATCCAAAATAAACGACTTTAAAAATTATATGTTTTTTGTTTCGTCTACAACAATTCACATGCACATTTGGAGATGAAATAGATGACATCGTGGTGGCACTATAAACCTCTAGATTACATATCTTCAGCAACACAAATTAGTGGGTCACATGACTTTATATATTTATAAACTTCAAATAGATGGTTCTAATCGTTTTGTCAAAAAAGAAAGCAAATTTAAGTCAAATATTTTTAATTCTTAATTGTACATGATTGAAATTGAACTGATACGGAAACCATATTTAACTTACTTAATTATATACCTAACACGGTGATAATAGTTCACTTGCTTGTCAAAGATTTCTTTTGGGGAATGATTGAGTCTATGGTTCCAAGTTAGAGACTCCGCTCGAGAAAGTGATTTGATATAAAAGGTTCTTTTGTTAAAAAGAAAAAAAAAGTTAAATTTGTCGAAATTTGCTACCCTCTCCGTTTCATTAAGTGATGTTTAAAGATGATACATACAAATTAAGAAAAGAAGAAAATATATAAACTTTCATTTTTCCATAAAAATTCCATTAAATACAATGAATTCAACCAATGAAAAAGACGATGTATAATATGATTGGTCAAAATTTATTAATTACATTAAATATTTTCATAGAAAATTAAAAACATCACTTAAAATGAAACAATCTTTTAAGGCTAAAATATCACTTAAAAGAGAACTAGTTAAGGATTCTAAAGTATTGATGGTTTAACGATGACGTTTCAACTAATTTTTAACATTTTATATTCGTTCGAAAATTTTCTCGAATATCCGAGAACGTTTTTCGACTATTTTCAACAAATGTTTTTCTATCGGAAAATTTTCCGCCCATCAGTTTATCGAAATTGGGTTACTTTGTAGTATTAACTTGTAGTATCAAGTTCTCGAACTTTCTAGCTATACATGAAAAAGAATTATACACTAGTCCAATGTAGTACAATGTAAACTAAGAGTGTAATAAATCTAGTATCCAATCGAATTAACCGACTTATGTACTGTGAAATAAACCAAAGACTATAATATGTAGATAGGAACCTATAATGGATGGTGCAGGGTGTAGGTGGTAAAGTGAAAGAGAGAGTATAAGTAAGATGGGATATAAATGAATAGTACGTTTAACATCTATTGCCACCACTACCACTAACCTATTGGCCCAATGTTCATAATCAGTAAGCCAACTGTCAATTATCTACTGCATGCAAGCTAAGACTGTCCAAAAGGAGTTTGTAACACTATGTGACAAAAACCCTTTCTTAAACTAATGTTATTTCTCTGTCTTTTTGAGTTTTGGATTCGATCTCATGTTTGCACTTTGAAACGACAAAAGCAAAAATTATTTTGTTTGTTCTCTCACACAAACAACATGTCAAGAAGAAAAGATCACATCATCATCTTAACCTCTAAATGATATGTATTAGTTTCCTATTGGTGGGAGTACAAACAAAGATCACATCATTTCAAACTCTAATGATATGTTTTAGTTTTCTATTGGTGGAAGAACAAAGAAAAGAAGGAATGATTTCAACTATCAACAAACTCTAGACAAAAGTAAAAGTCTTTTCCAATATCATGGATATATATCTCTTTTTCCCCCTTTTGTAATGCTAAAAGTGAAATTATAATGTCTTACATCATAAGTGAAATTTTATTTAACATCATGTATAATAGATATATCGAACAGTTTTGAATTGATGAACTATTTACGCGTTTATTTCGAGAAAACTTGTTATTATGTTACACATTGGATTTAGATTATATAGCAACCTCTTCGTCATCACCGATTAGCTAGTTTTGAGTTAAAAGTTCACAATCTCTATAATTACAACTTGTTTTTTTGTCGACAATTGTACATTTATTTTTGAATTTTAAAATATAAATAAGACTGTTGAAGAAAAAAAATATATATACAAATAAAAGACTAAAGAATTATGGTTATATATTTTATTTTTCCAAACCAATACCCTTATTGGCTGCATTGAAAGAGTATATCCTCTTCTTAAAGGCCTTGAAGCCTAGAGAGAAAGAAAACAAATAACAAAACAAAAAAAGTTTGTGTTTTCATTTTGGGAGGAATCAAAAGAGAATGGATTTATCAGACTTAGATTACAGCGATGCAGGAGACTCAGGTTGGACAATGTACTTAGACCATTCTTCTTCTGTGTCAATGCACAATGGAGAAACAAGACAACAACATGATGAAGATTCTTCAATGGTGTCGGATGCATCTTCCGGGCCTCCATATTATTGCCAAGAGATCGTCCCTGAAGATGCCCTCCAACAAAACACGCAATATTGGTGCAAGAACAAGATCAAGAACAAGAAGAAGAACAAGAAGAAGGTTCTTGAAGAACAAGAATATAGTGAGAGATTCAACTCTTCCCTTGATGACACAGCTAGTTCATTGGTATTTTTCTTATAAACTTATCTTTGATTCTTACTATTTAAAAATGAGCTTTTACATATTTAGTAAGTTTATATCATTTTAATCTCAATATTTGGAAAAACAATATTAAACAGCCAGTTCGAGAAGAAGTTTCAGCGGATAAGCAACATCGAGATCAGTATCAACGGTTTGATGATTTCTCTCAAAGCTACTCCACAAGAAGTATATTCAAGGTTTCTTCATATTACTTTTTTTTGCTTCATGGTCACAAACCAGTACTTCTTCTTACAACTTAATTTGGCTTCTCTATAACTTTTTGTTTGAATAGTTTTAAGTTTTTTTATTTATTTCTGTTGCAGGGAAACTTTAACTCAAGTTTCTTACAACAAGCTTTCCCGGTTGAGAAATTAGCATTGGATAATCAAGGTTATGATATGCCCATTATATTTGTTTCTTTAATCATAATTAATAACACATAAAAACAAAAGAAAAAACTCATATATACATGGGTTGTTTTACTTAATTCTTGCAATAATCACATGATGTATATGTATATAAAATATATAATTAATGTATCATGCATCTATGAGTACAAAAATATGCATGTAAAATTAATTAAAATTGTAGCTTGACAATATGTGTATTTGCAGGTGGAAGTAATCAAAAGAAGAGGAGAGGATAAAGAATGATCGTTGAATCTTTATTATTTGCTTTAGAAAGTTGAAATTAAGTTAAGAAGAAGAAAAAAAACAGAAGGGATAGCTTCTCTTCCTTTAATGGGATTTTGCTATCATGTACATTGTCTTTTAAGAGAACCATGTGATTTTAATTACTTCCAATTAATATATGATAAAGCTTGTGTAATAAATTACACTGATGACTAGTAGTTGCATTACCATTAACATAACATTAGGACACATAATAAAAAGTTTCTAATTCAGTTCAGACTCATGCATTAAAAACTACCAAAATAGAAATATGCTTTTACAAAAATAGTTAGAAAATCTATAGATTATTCTTCAATTCATTTCTTATTATGGGGGTTTTTTTGACTGTCCACTATAGTTAACTCTCTATGCTATTTTGAATGTTCGAAATACAATACATATCTTCCAATGCAACAATCCTTCTAAGATCTTAACTTTTAATCCAAAATCCATATTATATTGATTGTTTAGATTAGTGTAATGTTAATCTAGGAGATCCAGTATCAAAAACATATAAATCTTTGTTATCCCTAGTGTATTGTATCAAACTTTCAACTTAAACAATTAGTACTCTTTTATATGTTTCGCAAAGAGTGTCACTTTTATAGTTATGAGTAGTACATAAATATAGTTACACACACAGAAGAAGCATAAGTACATTGATTGAACATGTAAATACATAGTGACCATTTCTACTTATTTACTACTTTAAGTTTTCTTTGTACATTCCTACACAGCTGGTCATGGGACCTTCTCATTATTGTATACACTTTATGCGTAGCATAGCATTTATTTGTTTATACATGTATCATGTTATGGTATTTATCAAAATATTGCATAGAAAAAGTTTGAGTAAGATGCCATATACTTACAAATACAACAGTCACTTTAATCGTTTTAATTTGGTGCTATATCTACTACGACTCAAGTCTTAATTCAAAATCATGTTAGGTTACTCTACTCTTTTCTTATAGTTTGTGGTCAAACTAATATTAGATCAAAATGCTAGATTCTTGAACACTTATCTTTTCACCATTGATACAATCAAACTTTTGAGATTTAATATTTCAATAACTATTCGTCAGTGTCCACCAAAACTTATAAAGTTTGCTAAAAAAGATATTTATTTTCTTCTTCTTCCTTCGACGTATGTACGTATGCATGTGACACTCTATTAAAATGTATTTATGTATATGTTTGTTGCTGACTGAATTTATAAAATGGCAGTAATGGAAAATGGACCAAATGGTCCCTTTGCGAAGTGAAATTTCATGTTCACATGGCAAATTGGTTTAGTGGCTAGTGGCCCTTTTGCCAGTCTATCGTCCGTAATATGCGTCTCTAGGTACACACATTACACACATCCATCGCTTCTGTCATTTTATCTCATGTATGAAAATTTGCCAAGATTTTTTAAAAATACGATTAAAGAAAAAAAAAAGATAAAAGAAAATATAGTTTGAAAATTGGAATTTATTTTTACTTGGATCAATATATATCAAATAGTTTAAATATAAATTAATATCATTATACATATTAATATATTTTCACGATTTAACTTTTATTTTTTTCCAACAAAACCAACAATAGTCTTTAAACGTTTTATTTCCATATAAAAGTAAATGAATTTTATTTGAAAACATTTGATCTATATTGGTTATGAGTCTATATTTTTAATCTAATATGTGTGTGTTGTTGATGTATCAGAGCTCGATTTAAACTCAGCAATATGGTTGATTGAGTTAATGTGGCAATCAAACTTTGTTTATAAAACAACCCCCTTCTGGCCTTCTCAGATTGTTACTCACTTTTTTGTGGATTACTTAATTAATTTTCTTTTGTTTTCTTGACCAAATCAAAGTTGTGAATATCCTCTCCCTCTTGCTTCAAGTAGGCCTACTAGTGTAGCTATTGGCAATAGTCTGATGTGGTTAAGAAGTATGTGAATTAAAACATCAACTGATTTTATCAATTCTGAATAAAAATAAACTTAATATGCTAACTTGATATGTCACCTTCATAAACTTAATATTATCATTTAGAACATATTATCTATTTAGTTGAAGTAATTTTATAAAGGGAATATGTTCAAAACTTTTTATGAAGTAGACAAATCAAAGCTTTTAATTTAATTATCTTCTTTGATTGTTATTATTATTATTGTTATTATTATTTTGAAGTATTTCATACATACTATCTTTGTTCTATTATTTTAAATTCAGAAACATTGTACCCTTATGTATTTGATAACATCAAAACTAGGTTGTATCACGTACTATGAAAGCACATAGTGATTTTTGTTAAATGACATTGTAAATTTTAATTATAAAAAATACTCAGCTGTGAAAATAGTTAAATGATAACAATTTCTTGACATAATAGAAATTTTTTTATATTTTTATTCTTAAATATTAAATATTATATTTTATATGATTTGAGTTAATTTTTATAAGCATATAGTTAAATCTTAGCTGAAAGAAATTTCCCCCAATAAAATATTTGAAGTATATATTCGGGCAGAAAAATGTTTGATATCTTTTTTTATCTCATTGTTATTTTTATTTTATAGAATTGTTTTCTTGATGGTCATCACTAAAGTTATGCTATAAAATACTTTCCTTTCACTTTTCTTTATTAAAGTATTGAAAAGTTAAAAAAATAGATTTTTAAAAAATTATTCTTGTATCAGTCTTGTGTAAGGAGCATGATACAAACTAAATTTTCATCCAAATTTTGTATCTTGCTCGTTGACACATATACACTATGTTTACTTAATCCGTTAATATAGGCTCTTTGCAAAAAGAAAAAAAAATAAATTGATTTGGGCATACAAATTTAAAAGCCTTCTCTCTTACCTCTCTCGAACCTTCTAGAGAGAGAATGATCAGATCTTTTTTCTCTTTTCTTTTCCGATTATACTATATCGGATTAGCTTTTTTTTAATCTTGTTTATAGATTAAGTTTTTTTGGTTTCCGATTTTTGCTCAGATTAAAACAATTCCAGACTTTAGTTTAGTTTGGATCTAAACTCTTTACAGGTGGTTATTTTAACTCTGTTTGCTATAAGATGAATCTCTCTCGTCATATCGTTTGCCTCACTCCTCTCTTATGTTGGAATAATATCTTCGTCGTCATGCTTCTTATGAAGTGGACCTATTTGATCTTAGGCGGAGCCTCCCTTTAGGAGTATGGGTTAAGAAGAAGATTTGAAAAAGTATTTGCATAAATTCAAGACGGAGGCGGTGGAGATTATCTAGTTTAGCAGCGGCGAAATCTGTAAAAGAGTTCCAGTAATGGAGTATCGAAGCCGCACGGTGGAGCTGAGACAGATCGTGGATCTTTACAGCACCGTTTGTGTTACCCTTTCCTTCTTGCGTGTTTAACATCTGTCAACACGTGGCACCTTTTTCTTAATCTTATCTCTTTAGTTAGGGTTAAGCTGTGTTTTATAATAATTAAGGTTGTAAACGGAAGAGATTAGACTTGTATTTTTCAATCACTTGTAATGCCCATTGGGCTTTCAATGAATATATTGGTCGGAAAAAAAACTGATTTGGGCCTATAACCTTTCTGAAAAGGCTTCTCAAAGCCCATTAATTCCGTTGTACATTATCAACATAGATAATTAAATAACAAAAAAACGAAATACAAAAGGAAGGTTAAAACGAGTTTTTAACTTTTAACTCTCTCTTCGTCTTCTCTCTCTCTTTTGCGCCGTGTCAAATCAATCTACTGTTCTCTCTCTCTCTCTCTCCTATCTGGTAAACTTTTCATCTTCTCTTCTCTCCTCGCCATGGCTTTTCTAGGGTTTCTTTCTACAGTTCTCTCCCAAAATTTAGGGCTTTTGTGAAAATTCCTCAATTTCTCGTTTATCACTGCTTAATTTAGAATCCCCCAAATTTTTTTCGAAATTAGGGTTTTTCATACATGTTACTGTTTGATTTTTTGGGGGTTTTTGATTTTGAACTGTTAATTGTGTTCTTGATTATGATTCTGATGATTTGATTGTGTTATTTCGAAATTAGGGCTATAATCTCGGTTGATTCCGAGATTTAAGGGATTTTAAGACAAACCTGCAAAAAAATTTAGGGTTTTTTTTTGTTTTGTTTTGTGTGTGGAGGATATGGATTATGATCGGTATAAGTTGTTCGTTGGTGGGCTTGGGAAAGAGACTAGTGAAGAAGCTCTGAAGCAGCATTTTAGCAGATATGGAGTTGTGTTGGGAGCTGATATAGCTAAAGAGAGAGCCTCTGGAAAACCCAGAGGGTTTGCGTTTGTTCGGTTTGCTAATGATTATGATGTTGTGAGAGCTCTTAAAGACACTCATTGCATTCTGGGTAAATATGTAAGTGTTAACTCTTTTTTCTACGTTTGTTTCATCATATGGGGTTTGAGATATGTATGTTGGTTTTGTGTGTGGATTGGTAAGTGTGTCGTTGTATGTGTTATATCAGGTTGATGTGAGAAAGGCGATTCGGAGACATGAGATGTTTTATCAGCCATTTAGCATGCCTTATGTAGAGAGCAAAGTGAAACAGAACAACGGTGGTTTGCATGAGATGCCGAGTAATGGTAATACTCATAGGACCAAGAAGATATTTGTTGGAGGTTTGTCGTCTAACACGACTGAAGAAGAGTTCAGGAGCTACTTTGAGAGGTTTGGACGGACGACTGATGTTGTTGTGATGCATGACGGTGTGACAAACAGGCCAAGGGGTTTTGGGTTTGTTACATATGACTCGGAGAACTCTGTTGAGGTTGTTATGCAGAGTAGTTTCCATGAATTGAGTGATAAGCGTGTGGAAGTGAAACGGGCAATACCTAAAGAAGGAATCCAGAGCAATAACGGTAATCTTAACAATGTTCCTCCTACCTACAACAGCTTTCAAGCAACACCTTATGTCCTAGAACAAAACGGATATGGGATGATGGTACAGTATCCTCCCGCCTTTGGTTATCCTCACGGAGTCCAAACCATCCACTATCCTTATGGTTACCAATTCACAGCTCAAGTGCCTAACGTTCAATGGAACAATCCAGTTATGCAACACCCTGGTTTTTACTGCCCTCCTCCTCCTCCTCCTCCTCCCACCAACACAGTTGGTTATCTCCCTTACATGAACGGGTTTGATCATTCGGGTACGAACGTTCCTGGTTACAATCATGTAGCATGGCCTGTAACGGGGAATGCAGCTGGTGCGGTAATACATCAGTTTCAAGATTTGAAGCTCCAGGTCCCTAGCCAAGCCCATCAGAGAATGATAGGAAGTAACATGGGAAAGCCATTGCAGAATGGTACATATAGATGACAGTTGCAGAATGATAAACGCAATTAGGCTCACAAGGTTAATGAAATTCTTTGGACTCTTTAAAATGGTTTTTTTTTTTTTTTTAGGTTTCTCATCTTTCTTAATTAACTCTTTGGTAAATGCGTTGGTTGGTATGGTTGCTTTGTATATAATGTTTAGGTATTTTATTTTAACCACAAGACATCTGCTGTAATATATTCCTTTGTGATATATCACACAGTCAGTTCGTTCGTTTATGTTGCTGCTTTATGGTTTTGTTGTTTCTTTGATTAAAATTCAAAAGGGAGTACTGAGAAATAGATATCAATTAACAGTAGTCCACTATATGGTTTTGAAAAATAAAAAGAAACAAATCAAGATTGGAGAAACCATCGAGCATCCTTGAGCCTTAAGTTGGAGAAACAGAGGAAGCTTTTGAGGGTCTTTGTTGCAAGATTGAACACACAGATGTTCAGGGACAAATTTTCCTACTGATAGACACGATCATGTTGGGTGAAATTGAGTTTGGTTTGATACCAAGGGTCTGGTCAGCAGGCGCGGTGATACCCATATCAAGAAGCAAAGTCTCGTCACCTAGAGAATCTATTTCGACATTTAGGTACCGGATCGGGTTGTACATAATATCATCGTCTAGATTGGGATCCTTCTTGTAGATGCGGAAGATCCTATCACTTTTCGTCTCCTAAAAGATGCTCCGGACCAACAAAAACTATCCTGTTGTTGTAACAGCAATGTTATTATTTGAATCTTGCTCCATCTTCGCTTGGAGGATAGGGCAGACGCATTGGTGATATATATTTGTTGGTACCGCTTTCGAATGAATCAGACTGTACTTCAAAACCTTCTTGTCCAGACAAATCCCGCTTTCGAATGAATCAGACTACTCGCTGTGAAGTAAAGACTGTCACCACCGCCTCTTATAATACCATTATCTTCTAAACCCATCTATGATATAAATATTGGATTTAGAGTCTACTAACACAAGGAACCAGTAACCTGATTTTGCCAAGAATTGAATCTTTGACAAGTCACTTTTTGTCTTGTCAATTTTCGCTTCTTCGGGATTGTACAAAGCACAACAACCTTCATCCTCTAGAAACATAATCAGCCATGAAGATCCGATTTTTCGAGGTATCGTTTGTTTCCAAAATATATACCAATTCGGACACAGAATTCAAGATGTCTATATGAAGTTCTGACCAGCAGTTTGAATAAGAAGTCTCCTTGCCTCCAAACTTTAATAAACGTATCAATGAGAATCAAAGGGTTTTCAAACGATCTGCATGCGACTTTATTTAAGTATTCAAATTTTTATCTATTTGCTGTAGTTACAGAAGTCATATATAGTTTCAACTTTTTACCATTGTTTCAATGCTTGATTCGATTATTTTATCAAATCATCAAAGTTTTCTTTAGACTCTTTTTAATTCTTTTATCGAATCATTAGATTTGTTGTCACAACAGAAAATTTGAAATAAGTTTTGTTATCTCATATCCTGAGATGTCATGGTTATATTTATGAAACTGGTGTAAACTCCAAACATAGTATATTCAAGCTATAGACCATTTGGTTACCATTTTACTGGTACGATATAACAATTAAATTACGTTGTCGTTCCAACTAATATCAAATGTAATAACTAACTAGAGATAACACAGAATTTAACAACTATAGGTCAAAAGAGATAATTTTAGAAATCCAACAAACGGAAACAAGATATATAAACATGCTCACATGTCTTTGAATTTTTAAAACAGACAAGCAAATTATCTCAAGCACAAAAGTAAACAAAACAAACAAGACAATGAAGCTTCAAATGGTATGGCTCGCTTTGGCCTTAATCGCCATCAAAGCTAATGCAGCAGCACAAGGAAAGAACACAACAATCCCAGCACTCATAGTTTTTGGAGATTCGATAATGGATACAGGAAATAACAATAATCTTCCCACTCTTCTAAAATGTAACTTCCCTCCTTATGGCAAAGACTTCCCTGGAGGCTCCGCCACTGGAAGGTTTTCTGATGGAAGAGTTCCTTCTGACCTTATTGGTAACCATTTGAGTTTTTTCTGTTAATTATAATAGTAAAGCTATTTATATATATAGTGTGATAAGTATGTTATAAAATATTGCAGCTGAAAAATTAGGTTTGGCTAAGACATTACCAGCATATATGAATCCGAATTTGAAGCCTGAGGATCTTCTTAAAGGTGTAACATTTGCATCTGGAGGGACTGGTTATGATCCATTAACAGCACAAATTATGGTACTTCCAATCATGATTTTTAGTTTTTCTTGTCGATGAATCATTTTTCTTATATTTATGTTTAATTTTTGTAGTCAGTGATATCGGTATGGGATCAACTCACGTATTTCAAAGAATACATATCAAAGATCAAGAAACATTTTGGAGAAGAAAAAGCTAAAGATATTGTGGAAAACAGTTTCTTTCTCGTGGTTTCTAGTAGCAATGACCTTGCTCACACCTATTTAGCTCGAGCTCTTAGATATGATCGTACCTCATATGCCAATTTTTTGGCTGACGCTGCTGTCAAATTTGTGAGGGTAAGTACAATAATTTTTATAATAGATAAACTTATCAATTATATACTTAATATCCAAAAGTAATGTTTTCATAAATAATTAATGTTTAGGAATTACATAAGCTTGGAGCACGAAAAATCGGAGTGTTTAGTGCAGTGCCTGTTGGTTGTGTTCCACTTCAAAGAACTGTATTTGGAGGTTTCTTAACAAGAGGATGCAATCAACCTTTAAACACCATGGCAAAACAATTCAATTCAAGACTTTCTCCAGCATTAGATTCTTTGGATAAAGAGTTGGATGGTGTTATCCTTTACATTGACGTTTATGATACTCTTTTCGACATGATCCAGCACCCTAAAAAATACGGTAAGTAACACTATCACACACACATATATGTGGTAGACTAAGTTATTTATATTATAAATACAAAATTAAGTTATAAACAAATAATTTCATTATGTTTCAGGATTTGAGGTTGCTGATAGAGGATGTTGCGGTAAAGGATCTCTTACGATATCCTATTTGTGTAACTCATTGAACCCTTTCACATGTTCCAATTCTTCAGCCTATATATTCTGGGATACCTATCATCCGACTGAAAGAGCTTATCAAATTATCGTTGACAGTTTACTCGACAAATATCTAAGCAAAATCTATTGATGTTAACCATTTGTTTTATTTTGACATCATTGATGTTAATCATTTACGTCAAACTATGTTGGTATCTTTGTATCTCATCGTCTTTCTTGATCTCATATGTCTCTCTATGTATTCATTCATTTATATTCAATGTATCATGCAATTTTTTTTTTTTTTTTTTTTTGAATTATTATTCATTGAGAAACCGATACAGCAGGCCATGACACAAAGTCATACAGTTTTTAAAACGATTAAAAGTAGTAGAAAAAGAGGGTACAATAGATGCACATCTACAATTGAGTCTTCCGCTTCGATTGACTTAGTGTTTTGGTTGTTGGAAACCCATTAGCCACGACCACCTCGCTTCCCACGGCCTCTGCCCTTTCTGCGACCAGTGGTTTTCCCATGCATCTCCTTAGCCTTTGCTGATGGTTTAACCGGTCTTTCTCGAAGTATTCTTTTACCCGGAGGAGACATAAGATCCATCGAATCAGATTCGACATCTGAATCTGACAAATCTTCTTCCCCATCCGAAAATACCAAAGAGGAAAACTGATTAGAACCAAGATTTTGCTCAACATTATCAATCTCCCTAGGGACAGTAGCATTTGTATGAGCATGAGCTGTGGCAGTAGAAATTTGTGCAGTCCCCTGGATAAGAGACTCAATAGAGACAAAAGTTGATGGAATAGTTTTTGAGGTAAGGGGACTCTCGATGATTGAGACAGTTGTTGAAATAGTATGATCTTCTGCTATAGATACTGCGTGGGCAGATGATAATGACTTTGTGCGTAAGAGACAAAAGTTGCCAATAATTTCATTTAAAAACAATACCATACTTTATCTATCATACATACCTTTAATAGTACTATTTCTTCTTCAACATCCCATTTACCTTCTTTAGGATCATAAACTGAAATCCTCTTCTCATTACTTATAATGTAATGCTTTCCTTCGATCACCTGTATTTGTCTAATTGTAGAGAAGCGGTGCTCAGCGTCAGGGTCAGGTAAAGGTTCCCAAGTTTGAGTTTTCGGGTCGAAAACCTCACCCCGCACCCTCCCGCAACGTATATTTTCCCATTGAAGACGTTTAAAAAAGGTCTCGCTCGAGCTACACTCATGTTAGGGGCTTTACCCCATAACCCAGTCTTAGTCTCTTTATTACGTACCCACAAGTTTGAGGACGGACCACTAGACCTGCTTATTCCATACATTTCTGAACCAACCGACACTATTCGCAATGGTTCATAAGAAGGTGGTATTTGCACTAACCTAATATTTCTGCTAGACGTCTGCGTCTCCTCCTCCTCTTCGAGTTGGTTGGTTAGGGTTTGACCAGGTTTTATACAGAGGGTGTACCAAGAGGGACATTTATCATCGGGAAAAAGTAAACAGACTTGGAACATGGATTCTTTTCTTTTGTTTCAAGTTGCGATCGCGCATCGATGAGCTCTTTTGATGCGATGAGAGAATGAAAGGTCTTGCAGACTAGGGAGAGTTTAGGGTAGTACGATCTTGATATACGTGCTAAGCAAGTCAAGATAATTTCATCAGGAAGTGATAAAAACGAAGGATCCATAGCGGCAGCAAGCAGAGAGACGTCTTGTAAAAATGTAAAGAGCTTAAAACACGATTAGGGTTTTTTCTCTGTTTCATTCATCTAAGACATCGTATAGATTTGGTTATTAAAAATACTAAACCGGGATTGGAACTGAACAGAGGATTAGAGTCGGTTATCTCAGTCAGGCCGGTTTGACTAAGTGATAGACTTTTTTATAAGAGGGAGGGTTCATATACCTTCGAACCCATGAAACTAAATACATATGCTTATAATGATCATGTGAATGTAATAAATCTGGCAAAAATTGTCATTAAACTAACAAATCAAACAAAGGTTTTAAAGTAAACATGGTTATATTTTGATCAAACCTCATTTAGTACACTACGTACGAAAACGTATGAGTTGGGAACCTTATGGACTATGTCAGCCCACTCAATGTTCCCCTCAACCTCATCAATTTCAGGTCGAACATGTCTTTTCAGCGAAATCACCGCACACCAAATGTCCTTGTATCCAGGCTTATCATCATACGTAGACTTGTCCCATAAAATCAAGAGTTTCCCACCGTAGTTAGCTACTTCAATCATACCAATATTACCATCCCAATTCATCATTGTGAAACCTTTGACCACTCTCCATTGTTTACATTTTCTGTTATACCACGAGCACCTATGTTTATTACAACGATACAATACTTTATCTATCCAGCACTTCACATAGGATTTTTTTTCGGCAACATACCATTTACATACTCTTGGTTCGTAAACTTGTAACGTAAATATCTCCTTTGATCACCTCTAATTTTCTAATTGAAGAAAAGCGTTGCTCGGGTCGAGGGTCAGGTAAAGGTTCCCAAGTTTGAGTCCGCGGGTCGAAAACCTCACCCCAATTCGTCGATCGTTTAGCGGTGCAGCCTCCAATTACATATAGTTTCCCATCGAGGGCACATGCAAGGGGTTTCTCTCGAGCTACAGTCATATTGGAGGCTTTACGCCAAAAGGAACCATATATGTCCTTACTAAGGACCCATATGGTGGAAGACGGAGTATCGCCTTGGCTGATTCCGTACCATTCTGAACCAACCGCAACGGATTGCATTGGTGTATAAGAAAAATAAGAAGGTATTTGTACCAACCTAATATTTCCGGTAGGCTTCTCGTTCTTCCCGAGTTGGTTGGTTAGGGTATGACCAGGTTTGATCCAGAGGGTGAACAAGGATGGACGATCACTATCCGGAAACTGTAAGTAGACATGAACTAATATTTCTTGGGTTTTAAGGTGAAATCGCGTCACATTGAGATCACTCGATAGGATGAGAGAACGAAAGTTCTTGCATACTAGGGCGAGTCTCGGGTAGTTCGATCTTGATACGCGCGCGAAAACGTTCAAGATGATTTCATCCGGGAGTGACGAATACGATGGATTACTATCCTGTTTTTTTTTGTGCAATGGTTCTTCATAGGTCTCATCTCGTTTCGGTACCATATCCTAATACAACAACAAAGAAAAAGAAAAAACTAAAACATCAGAATCAATTCTAAAAACAGTAGATATGAATATATGATAATGCTAGCAAGTAGCAATTATATGATATGAACATGTACGTTTCGGTTTATTGCATCTATTTGAATTGAAGATGTAATGTTATGTATAACAACTAGCTAGCAAGGTCTTGGTTATTCTAAATTTAACATTCTCTTTTATGTGTATCAATTCTTTATAATAGAAAGAGCACTTGAGAATATAGTGTTCCAAAAACAGACGTGCACATACGAAAAGTTTGATTAAAAGTTTAAATTCAAAGAAAAAGAAAAAAAAAAAGACAAAATCAACTATAACAAAGAGTAAAGATGAATACGAGGAAACAAAAACAGAAAAGATGAGTCGAGTTCGTGGAGAAGAAGAACAAACTTGAAGTCGGAAGAGATTGGAACGTCAATGTCTGCCTCTTGTGTTTGAGAAGATGATGATATGATATAAATTCGAAACCTAATAAGGCCCAAAAACATACTCCCTATTACTTTTCTGTTAAAGAATTGTAATCGTTGTATACCTAAACCGTGTTCTCATAATTTACAATATTAATATAATTAATTGAATAAAACAAACATTATAAAAATTATATCTTTTTAATTAAAAAGATTTTGTTGTTTTCATATTTTACAATTATTAATAAATCCGATAAAAGATATAAAAATAAAATATATACTTTAATCTTAGAAGAAAAAATATATTTCTCTTTTCCTATTTAAAAACTCTCCTCATTCAACGTCTTTTCCTATTTCACTTAATCGTTCTCTTCTTAGATATTTCCTATGTTACATGGAAACGGAAACGGATACGCGGAAACGAGAAACGTGTTTTTTTATGAAATTAAAATATGGAAATGTTTTGGAAACGATAATAATATATATACATATATAATATTAACATCAAACATCTAAACTAGATTAAGAAAAAATATTTGAAATAACACGTTAATCTTAAATATATATACTAAATAGTTTAACTAAAAAATAAATATTAAAACACTGAAATCCATAAATTTAGATATGTATATATCATATATTATTGCGTATATGTCCCACCAAAAAAATAAAAATTTATTGCGTATATGTGTATTTAATTAAATTAATCAAGTTTTAAGGGTATAAAAATAATCACTCTATATATCATAAATCAAAATATTTGTCTATTAAGTTTCTAACTAAAAGTGTAATATATTTCGTCGGGTTTCGAAAATGGAAACACGAGTTTCTGTCGTGTTTCCAAATAAAAAAAATTAAGGACCGTGTTTACGTTATAGTTTCTGAGTTTCCTAAAATTTCTGTTTCCGAAACGTTTCATACAACCTATATTTCACAAAAAAAAATATATTATATTTTTATTACAAATTTCCTCTAGTAGTGGAATTTTATTCTCCCCTTTGTAGGGATAAGGGTAGTTATCAACAAAAAATAAATAAATAAATAAGAAAAGTAGAATTTATGGACTACTATCTTTTACATTCCTTTTGTAACATACTTTTTGATACCCTAATCTACTTGTATTAATTACTTTCATTAGATAAGAAAAATAAAGATTCTATGATCGTATTAAATATATTCTAAAACTTAACTTTCATGTGACGATTTCATGCTTATCTCATACTCACATCACATGAATCCATATCCACAGTCATAACAGTTTTAACTAACACTTGAGCGAAACGTTGGCCAAAAACGTGTCACCCACACGTGTCACTATCTTACCTTATGCTCTCAAAAAATCTAACGGTCATAAAAAACTCATCCATAAAGTAGTCGCTCTCACATATGAGTGTTAATCATTAAGTACCAGACACGTGGCGTTCTTCACCAAATATTATTTTTTATTATTTTGATTTGTATTTATTTATTTTCTAATTATTTGCATATGTTTTCATGAATGAACTGTAAATGCGAACTCTTCGGAATTGGAATTGCAAAGCAATTGGGTGTCTCTTTTTTTTTATTTTTTTTATTTTTTCATTTTTTCTCTTCTCTTCTCTGCGATTTCTTAGGGTTTCTGAATCTTCTTCTCTCTGGTTTCGTTGCGCAAATCGAATTCTCTCTTCAAGTCAAACCAAAGCTTTTGGTGTTTCTTCATTCTCTCTGTAAGTCATGTCGATTTTTTTATAAAAAAATTGTAAATCTCTTCGATTTGGTTTAACTTCGCATTGATTTGAAGAATTGGGTTTTGTTTTGGTATGAGATTGGTGTTTCTTTCCTGGGAATCGAATTCGTGTTTGTTTCACTGGATTTAGTGGGAATGTGATTTTTTGTTTTTCCTTATTCATAATTTGTTCTTAGGTTTTTTCGCGTTTTCATGTATCGTAATACTACTTTGTTGTTTATGCCATTGAAATTGTGGATTTGTAATCTGTGTTTATTGCGGAAACGAGGAATTGATAACTTGAGATTGAATCGAAGTGCGCATTGTTATGTTGTGTGTTACCCAACTTATCTTCTTCTGCAAGTTGTCAGGTATATTGATGTTTTAAGTAGTTTATTATACCTGAAAAGGTAATGTATAAAAGGTGTAGCATAGATAAGGAGAAGATTCTGTGATTAGTTGTTTAGAGTAGGCGTTTAGGTTGTAATGTTAGGTAGTTTGGATTCAGGAATAGATGTTTGGCCAATTGTTTAACTTCAGGATTTTGTTTTGGACATTGACATTGTCATCTGCTTCATCTGTTGTAGTTTGGATTCGATGTAGATGTTTGGCCAATTGTTTAACTGCAGGATTTTGTTTTGGACATTGACATTGTCATCTGCTTCATCTGTTGTAGTTTGGATTCGATGTAGATGTTTGGCCAATTGTTTAACTGCAAGATTTTGTTTCGGACATTGACATTGTCGTCTGCTTTATCTGTTGTCGTTTGTATTCTTGGGCATTGGATTGCAGAGCTTTGTTTAGTTTGAATTCTTTGGGCATTGGATTGCAGAGCTTTGTTTAGTTTGGATTCGTTGGGCATTAGATCGCAGAGCTTTGTTTAGTTTGGATTCTTTGGGCACTGGATTGCAGAACTTTGTTTCGATATGTGTCTCTAAATGTCTTATTTTCTCCTTTTGTGTGATTTTTTCTCTCTTACAGATATTCTGCTGATCTAAGATCTTCTAGTATTGTTTGATTGGCCATCTCTCTGTTTGCATTGAGTTAATACTTATGAAGTTCTTCCCTGCCTGCGATTTTTAGTAAGGACGGGGTCGAACTGAGAGTGAGATGGAGATTTCAGCTCTTCTTACATCTGCTGGGATTAATATTTCGATATGCATAGTGCTTCTGTCACTTTATTCCATACTTAGGAAACAGCCAGCCAATTACTGTGTCTATTTTGGCCGAAGGCTTGTTTGTGGTGGGGCTCGACGTTATGATCCTTTTTGGTATGAGAGGTTTGTGCCTTCTCCAAGTTGGCTGGTGAAAGCATGGGAAACTAGTGAAGATGAGTTATTAGCTGCTGCTGGTCTCGATGCTGTGGTCTTCCTCAGGATGGTCGTCTTCAGGTTTCTGAAAACTCTCCCAAATGCTTTTTGTTTTTTTTGCTTCTTCGTTTTATTCTACAGTTTATTTTTGTTTTCTGTTTACGTATGTATGGTTCTTCACAATTGGTTTTAATTGTGTTTCTCTTTGTCTGCAGCATTCGTGTTTTCTTTATAGTTGCGGTTATTTGCATTGCATTTGTGCTGCCTGTTAATTATTATGGGCAACCAATGGTGCATAAGCAAATCCATTTGGAATCATCTGAAGTGTTCACAATTGAAAACCTTAAAGAAGGCTCAAAATGGTAAATGTGGTTTTGCTTTTATATCTACCGATGTTTCATTGAAAGATAGTTCAACGTTATTTACTACTGAGAGTGTAAAGTGCTGATTTTTTTCTTAATACATTTATTGCTCTCAGGCTATGGGTTCATTGTCTTGCACTGTACATTATAACCTCAGCAGCCTGTCTTCTTCTTTACTTTGTGAGGACCTCGTACCTTAGTATATCTCATTCATACTTCAATACTTACTCTTGGTATCTTAATTTATATTCTTTTTAGTTTTTTTTCCCAATCTATTGACATTTTTTAATACTGTAGGAGTATAGGACTATTGCCAAAATGAGGCTTGCACATATCACTGGATCTGCCTCAAAGCCAAGTCAATTTACTGTTCTTATCCGTGCTATTCCATGGTCTCCTGAGCAATCTTACAGCGACACACTGAGCAAATTCTTCACAAACTACTATTCATCCAGCTATGTGTCCCACCAAATGGTCTACCATAATGGCATCATTCAGAGACTGCTGGTACGTTTCTTCTTAGACCCGTCAGTTTTGACTAAAACATTCAGCCCACCTTCCTCTTGGTTTACTAGTCCGATTAAAACTGTCACTTAGAAATTGTAGTAAAAAGCTGTTATTGCTCTGTGAGATGTGAAATTTTTTATGCCAGCGTTTTAGTATTTCTTCGTCTTTCACTATTTATTTTTGTTGATAGCTTTTGGAGTTGGTGTAATACTTTAACGTTCTGGAGTATTATGTGCTTGTTGGATGTTATAAAGGGTTATTTATTTGATAACCACATGCAGAGATTGATGATTTTTTTTGAATAGTAGAGATAATAATTAAATCTAGTCCAGCTAAAAGGAAATACAGGTCAGACCCATATTGTGGAGTATAAAAGGATCTTTTAGAGGAACTCTGTTTGTATCCTATTTGTAGTGTTTTCATACTTTCATTCATAGTTCATGATTTCTGATGCTGTAGTAGTTTCAATATTATCACATCAGTTTCTCACTGGTTATCTATCAGCCGGTTGAATCAACACAGAAGATGTTAGAAATTGGGTATATAATATGTGGACTGCTTGTGCTTGTGACAGCATATTTGAGATTCATTGTTCTGTGTCACAATTTCTGTCTCAGCGTGATGCGGAAAGGATGTGCCAGACTTTAAAACATGTTGCTCCTGAAATCAATTGTAAACCAAGTTTGAAGCCATGCACCTTCTGTGGAGGACCGACAGCCACAAGTTCCTTTCATATACTATCTAATGAGGGAGACAGTGTGAAAGGAATGGAGCTTGGTGAGCTGACTATGACTACGACAGAACAAGTAAGATATTTTTGTTATTTTCCCTGATCTAGGCATATAATGTGGTTATCTGTTTTGTCTGTTGTTTCTTCTAGCCAGTGTAGAGGATCTGTTTTGAAATCCAATACAGTTTGCATTTTCAAACATGATAAACTGATTTAGAAAGAAAGACCTTTAGGAGTGGAAGTTCGATTGTCTGATACTGCAGAAACTATTTCTATTCAGATCAGTTTTAAACCACCATTAATGATTTGTAGTACCATATACGACATTTTTCACTTTTTTGCTAGAGCTTATAAGTAGCAGTGCTTAATTTCAAATAGCCTTAAAATAGAATAGTTGATTGAAGCCACAAAAAATTTGTGCGATTTGTAGGAACGTCCAGCTGCTTTTGTGTTTTTCAAGACACGCTATGACGCTCTTGTTGCTTCAGATGTTCTACTATCATCAAATCCTATGTTATGGGTGACAGACTTAGCTCCGGAACCTCACGATGTGTATTGGAAGAATCTTAACATTCCTTATCGACAACTTTGGATACGGAAAATAGCAACCCTTGTTGGTGCAGTTGCCTTCATGTTTGTTTTCCTTATTCCTGTGACCTTCATTCAAGGGTTGACTCAACTAGAGCAGCTGTCTCACGCATTTCCTTTTCTAAGAGGCATCTTGCTGAAGTGAGTACCTTGCATTGTTCCTTATGCGTGTGTATACATATGGTGTTGGTTCTTATAGACATGACATTAGAATTGGCATTGAAAAGTAGGTGAAACTCAGGTCCAGCATAGAACACATTACACATGTCATTCTTTATAGATTTGAAACTTGAAGAGAAATCAAATATTTATGTTCATGACTTGTTTTATCATCTTAAAAGTTAATCAACCATTCAAACCATTTTGCAGGAAATTTATAAATCAGGTCATCACAGGGTACTTACCCAGTGTGATCTTGATTCTATTTTTCTATGCCGTTCCACCATTAATGATGTATTTTTCGGCCTTAGAGGGATGCATTTCACGGAGTATAAGGAAGAAGAGTGCATGCATCAAAGTCTTATATTTTACCATTTGGAATGTGTTCTTCGTGAATATATTATCAGGGTCTGTTATCCGGCAATTGAATGTCTTTTCTAGTGTCAGAGACATACCTGCACAACTTGCAAGAGCAGTGCCAACACAGGTGATTTTACCCATAGCCTTTTTACATTCAGAGAAAAATATTGAAATTTTGCTAATGTCCATTTCTACAGTCTCTTGGACATTAGTTGGATTACATTGTGCCAAGATCTTGCAAGTTTAATAATTTGACCATATACCAGAGAATATCAATCCCATTGAAGGAAATTTATTCATTGTATAGACTCATTTGGGATTAACATATTCTGGTTCCTTGTGACCTTCATTACTTGAGCACTTTCTCGTGTTTCATATTAGTAAAAGTGAAAGTATATTATTGTTTCTGACAATGGCTTTATTCATGTATGCAGGCTGGCTTCTTTATGACCTATTGTTTCACATCTGGTTGGGCCAGTTTGGCTTGTGAAATAATGCAGCCTATGGCACTTATCTGGAATTTGGTAGCAAAAGTTGTTTCCAAGAACGATGATGATTCATATGAAACACTTAGGTTCCCATACCACACTGAAATTCCCCGGCTGCTTTTGTTTGGGCTCCTCGGTTTCACCAATTCAGTCATAGCACCACTAATACTGCCGTTTTTGCTGATCTACTTTTTCCTTGCATATCTTATATACAAAAATCAGGTATGTGTGCTATCCATATGTTCTCTGATCTTTTTTACGTATCATCACAGTTAAGCACTCTAAAAGCCTAGCCTTAACAGAGTTGTTTCTATTTTGCAGATACTTAATGTGTATATCACAAAGTACGAAAGTGGTGGACAATACTGGCCTATTTTTCACAACACAACAATCTTTTCACTGATCCTGACACAGATTATAGCTTTGGGGTTTTTTGGATTAAAGCTATCAACGGTTGCTTCGGGTTTCACCATACCACTAATTCTTCTCACATTGCTTTTTAGTGAGTATTGTCGGCAGAGGTTTGCGCCCATTTTCCACAAATATCCTGCCCAGGTAGATTAAATGTAACCAAACCTTTGATGTTCCTACTGCAGTTTATGCGTCTTCTCGGTGCTTAATTGATGGTTTCTTTTCAGGTTCTCATAGATATGGACAGAGCTGATGAAATATCAGGAAAGATGGAAGAGTTACACAAAAAACTGCATAATGTATACTCGCAGATACCATTACACTCTCAGAAACCATCGAGTAAAGCTGAATGCAGTACTCCTTTCGCAAATCAGGAGTTACCAGATCCTGAAAAGTTGAAGCCAGGTTTCGAGTTCATACTATATTGTTTGTGTATGATTTCAGATTTCACTGGAATACAGACTAATAGTGATATTTACATTTTACAGAGGAAGGGGATGCTATAGCTAAAGAGTTATGGGGCTTCAAAGGCAGTGAACCTGGTCAAGAACAACATGACGCTAAATCCTGTCCCAGTGCTTCACCAGAGCATCTTTCTCCAAAGATGATTGAACTTCACAAACGGAACTAGACAGACATTTTTACTAGTGAAGTAATTATGGAGACTTCAACAAACCCTCAAGTACAAGATTTTTGTCGTGGGCATGCTCAGCTCCAAAACCAATGTTACTGGGAACACTCTCACAGTCTCACTCACTTGAAGAAAAGTTGTTTTTGGGATATTTTATCACTTTTCTTCTATAGAAATTTGAATCTCTACAAAACAGATGGGGGAAAGCATATAGCATGTACAGTCTTCTTGCCAAGATAATTAAAATGTACATTTTATAGATACTGCAAGATGAAATGGAACTGTGTATAGATATGATAAGAAGAAAGATTTTTTCATAACAGTAGTTAAGAGCAAAAGAGCTCTTAGTTCTTTCAACTTCTTGCTCACATAATATCAGCAAATGAAAAGAAGAGTAAAAATGAAATAATTCATTCATTTTGTTTATCTTGGTGCGAAACATTGGAAAGAAAGAGAGAAAACAATCCGAACAAGCATATTACAAACCAAAAAGAAAAGAAGAAAACACAACACTTGCAAAGGAATGTGAGGAACCTACAAAACAGAGAACAAGGTTTATGGAGTTGATTCGGTTTTAGGTATCATAAATGATGTTGTTTGAGGTGCTTTTTTGAGCTTTGTTTTAGGAAGGAACTTCGAGAGACCATTGGTTAAGGCAGAGTTTGTGACCAAGGAAGCTCTAAGTAAGCTTATGGCCTGCAAAAAAAGCGTAGTTTCAGAGGAAACATAAGTAAGAATTTTCTAGCAAGTAAGAGTAAAAAGATGTAGTAGAGACATCATACCTCAGCTTGACCAATGCTAATTACTTGCTCCTCAATATCATTGATGTTCACCTGCAACTTACTCAATACTGCAATTGTTGAAGATGAGTTCATGGCAGTAACATGTAGATCATCCGACACCATGAACTTTGTTTTTCCCTTAACAAATGCAAGACCAGTAGAATCCGAAGTGCCTTTGGATTTTGGATTCACTGGTCTCAACTTCAAAATTCTTTGACTTCCATTTGTTTTCTTCTCAATCTTTTTGCTCAGCTTGCTAGCAGTAAAGGAAGTCACGATACATTCATATTCTTGCACTTCCTGAATAATAACATCAAGAAGTTGTGCACGACAATTGTAGGAATAAGGAAGCACACATTTGGCAACTGTAGTTTCCCCCTCCCCCTCTAAGCTTAACCCTTCTATGCTTCTGCACAAGTTCTCAACACAACCTATATTGGCATTTTCACTACAAAACTTCCCCAGAAACTCAAGGGGAATTGCAAGAAACGAGAAAAGAAAATCGATGAAATCTTCTCTGCACTCTGCATAAAGAATGACTCGATCCAGCTTTCTAACAAAAACTTTCAAGGTTAAACGTGGGCCTGCAACTATGCTTTCTTTCACAAATGCAGCCAGACATTTCTGCTTCCTTGACACACAAGTTCCCCTCAGAAACGTGTCTGTCAAGGGAGTATCTGAATTGAATATACACCCTAGCAAAGTCAGCACCTACATAAAAAAAAGTTCAGTTGAATAAATTATGCATGAGACATGAATTAAAAACAAAAATGTGAATGAAAGGCTTATTACTTCGTCGGAACCAACTTCAAGTAGCCTTTCTTGTAACTTATCAAATCCAGCATAGCCAAGATCATTGAGGACACTCAGGACATTAGCAATAGAGTTGAACATCACTTTTAAATCATCAGTGATAATGAAAGAACTTCTAAAACTCAGAAACACTCCATCACCTTCTGCTTGATCTTCTTCCTCAATCTGAACCTCACGGGTCATTAATTTTCCACAACTACATATTGAGGTGCAAGTATTGCTGTATACCTTACCGCATAACCTGCCATAATCAAAACTTGGGCACACAAAAAACCTGCCATAATCAAAACTTGGGCACACAAAAAACCTGGGAGACTCAGTATCAGCAAGATTCATCTTTAGCCGACTGCAGTGACTCTCCTTCAAACTCTTTGGATACAGCAACAAATCCTTACATGCTTTTGTCTCAAAATTATCGACACTCATGTTAGAGACACTCTTGTAAAGATTCGTAAAACAACCCACACGAGAAGACTGGGGATTTTGATGCTTCTCCAGTAGCCTGACAATAGTCCCCATTGGGAGAGTCAATAGACCACAAAGCTCATCAACAAAATCCATATCAGCTTCAGCCATCACAACTTTGTTTTTCTTCTCATCGATGAGAAGTCTCATATTGAACTTTGGTTTCTCTGAACTTTGATCCATCACAATAACAGAGCAAAAAAAAAGAAAAGGGGTAGTCGTAATAATCTTAAGATCCAAAGGGAGGTGTTATATAATTTGACGTTTAATGACCATAATGACTGTTATTACCTTAACCAAGAAACCTTTACGCTTCCCAAAGAGGCAAGACCGTTTGAGTTTGAATGCACATGTCCAAAGAGTCTTAATATTATGTCATTAAGACAAATAACTCAATCAAAGTGCATCGATTAAGGACAAAACCGCCCAAATCCTCCATTAATTACAGACTTGGGAACTACAATTCTCCGCATGCATGGTATATATCTCCCTTTGTTGGTTTATAAAATCTCCACTAGAAGAAGTTAATGTTGTCTTGTCACATCACGTTTTGAGATTAAGCATGTCTGATTACACTACGAAACTCCCGTTCCTTGAACCCGAAGTTAGGAAGGAAAATCTCAGTGTTGTCTACCTTCTCTCGGGGACTGAAATCTCTAGCAACAAATCCATGTGTAGTATGAATAAAGTGTTGTCAACAACATGCAGAACTATTTGTTGCTAGAGATGTTTTAGTCAATGGGAACATAATAGATTATCAAGACTGATATTCTAGATTCTCTCCAATTGTTTGGAATTAAGGGAGTCTCTTAACTAGAACTCAAAATGGAGATTCTCTAAAACGTCATGATTCTTATTTACTCGCAAAGTTAGTGTGTAAATGACTGAGAGACCCTGTTTTCTAAACCCTTACCACCATGGTTGGTAGTCTTAACTCACACCTAGGCCGTGGAAACTGAGAAAGTCATGGTATCTTCTAATCTGAGTCAAAGAAAGAAGAAAAAGCCATGAGAGATCACAATGGCTGAAGAAAAGTGTGGCAATGGTTTAAATTATTTTAGACTTTTGTTTTTTCAATTTAAACTTTACAGTTGTAAGAACATTTTTTTTTTCTTTGAATATAATTTAACACTAAATTCAAAAAAAAAAAAAATGTCGCAATTATTGAAGCAGCAAGCCTAGAGAGAAAAGAAATTGGAAATGTAATTTGTACTGAAATATGAAAACAGTATAGAGATAGAAATAAATGATAAACTATTCAAAGGAATTTGTGAGTATCAATGCGTGTGAAAAAGGGTAATAAACAGAACCATGGGCCAAAAAACGTAGTTGACGACTTGTGAAAGTGTCTTTCCTTATAGTCGTCGACGACCACGATCTAGCCTTATAGTATTATATATCATTGAAAATTTGGAATTTGATTGGGAAGATAAAGAAGAATTAGGAAGATAAACAACGGCTGCTATTAGATAGAAAATGGATCGAATGTCTTGCTGTTCTAAGAAAATCCCAACAATATCATAATTTTTTTAATTGGGTTCGGATTACTTGGATCACGATCGATGACTCAAGAAATAGTATTTGTTTTATGAGCCTTTCTTAGGCTTCGAATGAGCAAGTGTATCAGGCAGAGCAGATCAATCGGATAATATATGTAGATCGAACATAACAAAAGTGAATCAAGCAAATCTAGCGTTACAAATGCAGACCAAATATCTATATAATTTTTAGATAAATTAATATTAGTTAAATAAAATAAAAAAAAAACAAAATCACCACAAACACTCTTAAATGGGTATGGGTGGACTGCTCTACTTTTTTGAGAAAAAAAAGTATTCTTATTTTTTTAAGCAGTATAGAGAAGCAGTTCATCTGCTAAATAATTATTTTGTTTGAATGGGAATATAAATACAGATATACTGCTTTAGTAAATTAACTGCTTTTGTACTGTGGTCTCATTCAGAATCTTAGTCTGTAACTTGGAGTAAGGGGAGGATCAAACTTATCATGGACTTATGAGGTGGTATATTATAATTGGTTTTTAACTGATATTACAACGAGAGTGGATTAAATAGGATACAAACTGCTAAAAATTTAGAGAAATTTAAATTTATTTTATTTTATTTTGGACAAACTTTTAGTCTTAACTTTATGACTTTGAATCATAATAAAATAAGCATTTTAGGAAATATAGGACCTGTAAAAATATCTTTTTTTAAAAAAAAATAGAGTATTAATTCTGAAACATTGTATGGATTTGTCTAATTTAATAATTAAGGTTAAAATCTTTTAGTTGTGTTTAGTTATATTGATAGTAGAAAACTAAGGGGGTGTATTAAAATAGAGTATTGCTTTTGTACTGTGGTCTCATTCAGAATCTTAGTGGGTGTTATTGGATAATGGATTTTAATAGAGTCTAACTCTAACCCAAGTCTAATGTAAAATTATTGTTATTCCGAAAACCAACCCCTTTGTCTAATTTAATAATTAAGGTTAAATTCTTTTAGTTGGTGTTTAGTTATATTGTTAGGAATATAAATACAAATAAACTGCTTCAGTAAATTAAATCTAGTGTTATTGGTTCTTATACTTACAATTATTAACGAAAGTCTTATGTTATTCAAGTTTGGTGGATTTAAAGTCTTATGTTATTCAAGTTTGGTGGATTTTCACAAATGAATTCATTTGAAAAGCTTTGAGTGAATCTGAAACTGATTTCATGTGTAAATTATGTTAATCCGAAAACCAACCTTCTAACATGAGA